GTTGAAAATCAGTAGCCATAGCTATATGGCTTTATTTCTGGGTTCTCTGTTCTATTGGTATATGCATCTAACTTTATTCCAATACCATGCTGTTTTGTTTACTATAACCTTAGAGTATAATTTAAAGTCAGGTAGTGTGGTACCTCCAGATTTGTTCTTTCTGCTTAGGGTTGCTTTGGCTATTCAGGCTCTTTTTTGATTCCATATGAAGTTCAGGATTGTTTCTTTTAGGTCTGTGAAAAATGATGGTATTTTGATGGGAGTTGCATTGATCTTATAAACCAGTTTAGGCAGTATGGACATTTTAACAATGTTGATTCTTTCAGTCCATGAGCATAGAATGTTTTTGCATTTGTCTGTGTCAGCTATGATTACTTTAATCTGTGTTTTAAAAGTGTTTTGTAGTTTTCCTTGTAGAGATCTTTCATCTTCTTAATTTAGTATATTCCTAGGGTTTTTTTTCTTTTTGCAGCAATTGTAAATGGTATTGAGTTCCTGATTTTATTCTAAGCTTGACTGTTATTAATATATAAAAATGCTACTGGCTAGTATACATTAATTTTATAACCTGAGACTTTATGGAGTTTATCAATTCTAGGAATCTTTTGGTGGATTCTTTAGGGTTTTCTAGATGTAAGATCATATCATTCTCAAATAGGGGTAGTTTCACCTCCCCTTTCCTGTTTTTGGTTACACTTTATTTCTTTCTCTTGCCTGGTTGCTCTTGCTAGGACTTCCAGTATAATGTTGAATGTGAGTGATGACAGTGGGCATCCTTTTCTTGTCCAGTTCTTAGGGGGAATGCTTTCAGCTTTTCCCCATTTAGTTTGATGTTGGCTGTGAGTTTGTCATATATGGCGTTTATTATTTTGAGGTATGTTCCTTCTGTGCATAGTTTGTTGAGGTTTATTATCATGAAGTGGTGCCTGAAGTGGTGCATTTTATTGAATGCTTTTACTGCCTCTATTGAGATGATCATTGTTTCCGTAGCTGTACAAAAGCTTTTTAGTTTAATCAAATCCCATTTATTAATTTTTGTTGCCATGGTTGCCATTGAGGTCTTATTCATAAATTCTTTGCCTAGGCCAATATCTAGAAGAACTTTTCCTACATTTTCCTCCAGAATTCTTATGGCTTCATGCTTAGATTTAAGTTTTTTTTTGTTTGATAAAAACAAACAAACAAACAATCTTGAATTAATTCTTGTGAGTGGTGAAGGTAAGGGTCCTGTTTAATTTTTCTGCATGTGACTATCCACTTTTCCCAGCACCATTTATTGAATAGGACATTTTCCCCCAGTGTATGTTGTTATCTGCTTTGTTGAGGATCAGTTGGTTGTAGGTAGATGGCTTTATATCTGGGCTGTCTGTTTTGTTCCATTGGTCTGTGCCTCTATTTTTGTACCAATACAATGCTGTTTTTGTTACTATAGCTTTGTAGTATAAAGTCCAGTAATGTGATGTCTCCAGAATAGTTTTTGGCTTAAGATTGCTTTAGCTATTCGGGCTCTTTTCTGGTTCCAAACAAAACAAAGTATTGTTTTTTTCCTAGATTTGTGAAGTATGATGTTGATAATTTGATAGGTATTGCATTGAATTTGTAAGTCTTTTTGGGTATTAACAATGTTGATTCTGCCCATCCATGAGCATATTATGTTTTACCATTTGTTTGTATCCTCTGCAGTTTCTTTTCTCAGTTTCATAGTTCTCCTTGTAGAGATCTTTCACCTCCTTGGTTAATTATGTTCCTAGGTATTTTATTTTCTTTGTAACTATTGTGAATGATATTGAACCTTTGATTTAACTCTCAGCTTGACTGTTACTGGTATATAGAAGTGCTACTGATTTACGCACATTTTTTTTTATCCTGACACTTTGATGAAATTATTAATTCCAGGAGACTCTTAGTGGAATCTTTGGAGTTTTCTAGATACAAGATCATATTGTCAGCAAAGAGCAATAGTTTGAACTCCTATTTCCCAAATCCCTTTATTTTTTTCTCTTGCCTGATTGCTCTGGTTAGGACTTCCAGCACTATGTTAAATATGGTTTTGTTTTTAATTGTTTATGTGGTGGATCATATTGATTTTTGTATATGTTGAATCATCCTTGCAACCCTGGGATGAAATCCACTTGATCATAATGAATTATCTTTTTCATGTGCTGTTGGATTTGGTTTGCCAGCATTTTGTTGAGGAATTTTGCATCTATGTTCATGAAGGATATAGGTTTCTTTTCTTTGTAGCTTTTCTGCTACAGTAATCTGTCTAGTTCTGTCGGAGTGTTAAAGTTTATGGCTATTTATGATGTCACAATTAATATTTCTTAGATGTAGAATTTATGAATCCAGGAGGCCCTGTGTTAGATGCATATATTTAGGATTGTTATATCTTCTTGATGAATTGATCCTTTTATCATTATGTAATGACCATCTTTTTTTTTTTTTTTTAACCATAGTCTCTTTTATCTGTTATGAGAATAGCTATTTCTGCTTGCTTTTAGTTTCTATTTGGTGGAATATTTTTTTCCACCCCTTTCCCTTGAGTCTTTGTGAATCTTTGACTTAAATGGGTTTCTTGGAGACATTATATATCTGTTTTTTTAAATCCATTCAGCCAAGCTATATATTTTAAATAGGGCATTGTAATCTTTAAGTATACAGCAATTATAGCTATTTTAAGTTGTCTAGTAACTCTACCATCCAGAGGTTGTGTGGATCTGTTTCTTTGGGCTAGTTCTGTTGTTTCTCACCTCTTAATATGTCTATGAATTGCACTTTAAATGTTTCCCTGGTTGCATTTTATAGATTTTTATATGTATGTGGTTTACCTAAATATTTTGTAATTTCCGACTTTTTATATCCCATGGATATTCAAATGTACATATATGTTTCAGAATGTATAGTAAGTTTGAATCAACCGTTTTAGCTGACTTCTAAATTTATTGCATCATGATCAGAGATCCAAGTATCTGTTATGTTGATTCTTTTGCATGGTTTTATTTGGTTTTGTTCTGGTAACTTAAGATTTTCACTTTTATTCTTATTCAGAAATGTCGTCATAGTGCATCTAGGTATAATTTTCCTTATTTATCTTTGGGACTCAGTGGACTTTTTCAATTTGTGGATGTTTATATTTGAGAATGTTCTTGGCTACTATTCAGCTGTTCTCACCTCACTTTTTATTTTTTCTATTTTTGTTAATTTCTGCAATTTTTATTGTATAGATATTGGAATATCTGCATTTCTCAACTTTTTAAACATATTTTATTATTTTTTGGTGATATTCTGGATCATTTCCTCATGTTATTTCTATCCTAAGGAAAGTTCACTCCTGAAAACAGCCACCCTCCATAGAAGCTCTCAGGCCTATATTCTGTGGAAGTGGTGGATGTTGAAGGTGTTCCCTAGCTTACATTGCTCCTTTTATGATTCATTAATCTAATACTTTCAATACCTATTTCTTACCTCTATATTTGAGAGAGTACTTTTCCCATTTTTTCTAACTTTTCTATGAAGTAAGTTGTTTTATGTATACACATACACACGCATATACATACACACACACAAATTAATATCCTGTAACAATGCATGATATGATAATGTTCTCAAACAAGACTAGGCTAAATTTCTTATCTTCTGTGATGGCCACAGGGGAATGAAAAAGTGAAGCCAAATGGAAAGAAGTAGGCCAGCTTCTTCTTGGGAATTGGGGAGACAGAGTGGATCCCTGAATTTCCAATGTTCTGACTGAATCTCTATGTCAGGGTGAAAAAATGGCCACCAACTATTTAGCGATCCTGAAATAATTGCTGCTATCTTGGAAGTCCCAGCTAGGTACGGACACCCAGAGTTGCCTCTCTGATATTTAAACCCAAGCAGACAAACACACCAGATAGGGCTAAACCGTAGCTAGGACCTGGATAGATTTGGATGAAGCAGCTGGCCTTCTAGCTGCTTACCTGCACAGCTTGGTCATCTTACTTCCCTTACAATAACTCACATTTTTACTGATCTCCTTTTCTGGGCCCCACTCACTTGCAATTTGTCTTATATGCATGTCTTAATTGGCACTTAAATTTCTTTACTGACATCCCTGCAACAAAGTAGACTGAATAATGCTTTTTGTTTTCTTCTCGATAGCGTCCTATATTCCTCTTGGATTAATTAATTGCCTCTCTTGGATTTTCTGGTGATTCTATTACAGAGTTCTTCACAGCATAGTTTGTTTTCAAATTAGTCATGATGTCTACAAAAAGAAGAAATTATTTTTTTTTTCCTTTCTAGAACTAACCTTCAATTGCATTTGGAAATGTTAGATGCATTTGTTAAGATGGTAGGTGGTGCTTAATGCAACCCCGTTGTTTCCTGTATTCATTCTCCTTCAAAAGGAAAAAATGTTTAGGTTATCTACACACACACACAAGAAATAAATGTTTATTTGATTGAGGATGCCAAGAAGTACTTCTTAGGTACATTGTTGCCAGCATATCAGATTTTTAAAAACATTTCTATAATTAAAATGGAATGGTTAAAACATAATTATTAGATGTGAAAATTAAATGACTTTTATGTTTCCCCTGGTCAGAAACACACTAAATAGGATTGTTTGATGTAACTCATCTATTTGTGGCCCTGTATTCATGAGCATGGAATCTGTATTTGAACCTTGAGAATATTTTCTATTAAAAAGCCATATGGCAATTTGTGATGGTCGTTTGTATTTGCATCCCATGGTCTTAAGAGACTCAAAAGCATTTTGGGAAAGTGATGTCCTCCCCTTGATTTGGGCATTCAGCCAGAAATGGGGGGTTCTTTCTTCCCTGAACACCTTCCTGGATATATGAAATGTATGTAGATGATCTTTTTCTTGCTCCTTTCTTCTCATATTTTGTTGTATTCTTTAATGATGTATTTACATATTCTTCCCTTCTTGAATATTTTAATAGCCTGAATTTCATTGAAACATTAATTCAAGAGTATTTTTCTTTTTGTTCCCAAAGGTAGAACAAGTATAGCAAGAATCACTGGTGAGGGAGATCCAGGTTTGTATTCTTTTACTAACTAGCTTTATGACCGTTTGGCGGGCCTTTTGACATTAAGTAATCTATAAAAATAAAGAGCTTGAATAAGTGATCTTCAAGCATTTTACTAGAAACTTCTTCAGCTAGACTCAAATGTGTAATTTGATACTCAGGAGAAGAAAATGCCCAGAGAGGAACTTAAACAATATTTATTGTCTTTGATATAAGCAACAATGCTTATTTATGTGTTAAGATCTTTAAACTGTAAATACATGAACAGATTGTAAGACACAGAAAATATGTTTTCATTTATAGGTGTTTGTTTTGTCCTGCTGTTTTTAAATGCAGTCAAAATGCCAATAAGACCAGATCTCCAGGTAGGTAGTCCTAGCCTGAAATGAAGTATTTTAATTCCTAAAATCACTTTTTGTTTACTTATAGGTATTCAGTTCTATATATGTTTTTTATGAAATGGTCAAGAGTACAGTAATTTAATAAGAGTCTTTTTATTTATTCAATAGATAAGTTTTAAAAGCTATAAGAATATTTGTGAAGTATTAAGGATACTGATTGTTTACATATGTTTTACATTGAAAAGAACTATGAACTAAATAATGTATAGCTTATGCTTAGATATTTGTATGTCACATTTAAAAAATTTTTAAGATATTTGCATTTGGGCAAAGTGTAAATTTTAATAATCTGTTTAGCATGTTTGCAATTCACTACCATGTCTGCTTAGTGATCAGAGTATGAAAATTCCTTATTAATGAAGTGTACTTTAATAGGGATGGCAGATTTTGTAAAGATTATAAATATAATATAAAGGTAATGCTTAAGTTATGTTGGTATAGTTTCAAAAAGATACTTTTGCCTATCTATGCATTTTTCTTTACAATTTAAATGGAAGAGGTCAGATACGCTAAGTTTTTATTCATCATATATTAAGTATTAGTTACTGTAAAGTTTATTTTGTTTCATCAAGTTTTTGTTGAGTTCAATATAGTGATGACTTTAGTAATGAAAAGTATGAGTTGGAAATACTAGTAAATTTTCCCTACTGAGAGTCTTGATATTGATATTATCAAAAAGTCCTTAACACATTGACTGCCACACTAGAAAAAAATTTTTTCCTTGGGGCCATGGTGTTTGTTAAAACAAAATGATCTTTAATAATGTTATTTTTATTGTTTTCTGTGCATGAGTTATATGCAATGCAAACTACATTTTTAGAATTGTCAATATTAAATTGTAATAATAAGAGCATCAACAAGTAAGATTTTTCACAAGCCAACTACAGGGTTTTGCTTCGCAAGGCCCTGGGCTCAAAACTAGCTTGAGTTAAATACGAATCACATGGTAGTTAATGTGTTAATATCTATCTCAATTACTCCAAATTTAATAATGGGCAGGGATCTTTAAGTAAGTGAATTGCTATTTTATGAACTCATTTGAGAGTTTTCATGTGAAAACCATTTTCAAATTACTAGATTGCATAAGGTGATTAATTTTGGTTTTGATTCAATATATGTGCCATTAACTATATTTTTCTAGCAGTTGGAAAAATGCCTCGATGATGCTTTAAGAAAAAATGATTTTAAACCTTTGAGAACACTTTTACAAATTGCTGTTTGTGAAGATGTGAAGATTAAATGTAGCAAACAATTTTTCTACAAGTTGGACGACCTTATATGCAGGGTAAATGTTTTTGCTTGAATGGCTATTAAAAGTATTATATTGAACTCTATTTTCTAGGAAGAAGTACTCCATCAGAAAAAAATAAATAGAAAGGCTTGGGCAAACTAATTTATAATTACCTGTATGTAATTCATTCTTATTTCACCATTTGCTTAATTTTTTTTGTTGTTTTCTAGGAGTCTGAACATATTCGAATGTTGCTTCCCAAATATAATATGCAAAAAGTTGGTTTTACATAGGATTACCATTGCTTAAACTGGGAAAAAAATAGTTTGTTTGAAGTTTAAACAACTTGATCTATTTTTTTTTTAAAAAAACCTAGCAATGAAATTCTTCACAGAAATATTTAAAAAATCCTAAAATGTATATGGAACCAAAAAAGACACAGAATAGCCAAAACCATCCTGAGCAAAAAAGAACAAAACTGGAGAAATTGCATTACCTGACTTCAAATTATACTACAGAGCCATAGTAACCAAAATAGCATGGTACTAGCATAAACCCAGACAATGTAGACCAGTGGAACAGAATAGAGAACACAGAAATAAATCCACACCTTTTATAGTGAACTTATCTTCAACAAGGAGGCCAAGAACATACAGTGGGGAAAGGACAGTCTCTTTGATAAATTGTGCTGGGAAAACTGGGTATCCACATGCAGAAGAATGAAACTAGACCCTTATCTCTCACCATATGCACAAATAAAAAAATGTATTAAAGACTTAAATCTAAGAATCTGGGAACTATGAAACTACTAAAAGAAAACATTGAAGAAGCACTTCAGGACATTAGTCTGGACAATGGTTTGAGTAATACCCCGAAGCACAGACAACCAAAGCAAAATTGGACAAATGGGATCACAGCAAGCCAAAAAGCTTCTGCACAGCAAAGGAAACAATGAGGGAAGAGACAACCCAAGAAGAGCAGAAAATATTTGCAAACTACCTATCTGATAAAGGATTAATAGCTAGAATACATAAGGGGCTCCACCTACTAAAGAGGAAGAAATAATCTAAATAAAATATAGGCAAAGGATCTGAATAGATATTTCCCAAAAGAAGACATACAAATGGCTAACAGGTTTATGAAAAGATGCTCAACATCATTGGTCTTCAGAGAAATGGAAATCAAAACTACAATGAGATATCATCTCACCCTAGTTAAAATGCCTTTTATGAAAAAGACAGGCAGTATTGAATGCTGGTGAGGATGTGGAGAAAGGGGAATGCTAGTACACTTGGTGAGAACGTAAATTAGTGCAGCCACTACAGAGAACAGGATGGAGGTTTCTCAAAAAACTGAAAATAGAGCTACCATATGACCTAGCAATCCAACCACTTAGGTATATATCCAAAGGAGGGGAAATCAATATATCAAAAAGGTATCCGCAGTCCTGTGTTTATTACAGCACTATTCACAGTAGCCAAGATTTGAAATCAACCTGTCCATCAACAGATGAATGGATAAAGAAATTGTGGTACATATATGCAATGGAGTATTATATAGCCACAAAAAGAATGAAACTGCCATTTGCAACAACATAGATGGAACTGGAGAACATCATGTTAAGTGAAGTAAGGCAAACACAGAAAGACAAATTTCACATGTTCTCATGCATACGTGGGAGCTAAATATTAAAAATTATTGATCTCATGGAGACAGAGTAGAATGATGGTTACCAGAGGCTGGGAAATGGTAGTGGGAAGGTGGGATAAAGCGGGGATGGTTAATTGGGTAAAAAATACAGTTAGACTGAACAATATATGATAGCACAAAATAGACTATAATCAGTAATAAGTTAGGGTACACTTTAAAAGAGTAGAATAGGTATGTTTCTAACACAGCAATTATAAATGCCTGAGGCGATGGATACCCCAATTACCCTGATTTGATTAACTCACATTGTATGCCTGTATCACAATATCACATATACCCCATAAAGATATACAACTATTATATACCCATAATAATTACATGAAACAAACAAAAACCCTATCAGCATATTCTTGATGTTACATAGACAATGCTAGATGCTCTCAAAAATAAAAAATCTACCAAAACTTTGTTTTATCATATCTAGTGTATTTTCATACATGAGAAAAGGTGATTATTGATAATCTCCCCCATTTGAGATTTATTATGAATCTAAAGATTGAATAACACTTTCTTGAATCTGTTAGCTAAATACATGGAGCTTTTTAGACTGGAAGGTAACTGATTCATTATATCATAGTATGAATTTTCTTAAATTTATGCAGATCTTAATTTTTGTCCTGAGTTTTCCTTCCCTGGCTGGGTAGCATTGGGCAGGTTGCTCTTTTGAACTATACTTTCATCCTTTGCAATATGGAGATAATGGGTAATGGCTACCTTTCAGGATTTGTGAAGATTAGAAATATGTGTACCTAGCTCAATGCCTATTTCATACTATTTTGTGTTTGCAAAAGTTTAAATATATACTTTTCATTTCAGGAACTTAATAAAAACGATATCCAAGCTGTTTCAACCATTTTGGTTTCTGTTGGAAGATGTGGCAAAAATATCAGGGTATCGGGGCAAGCTGGACTTTTAACAATGATAAAACAAGGACTAGTCAAAAAGATAAGTATAGAATGTGTCACATATTCAGGTGAAGGAAACATGGTAAAATACACTTTCTAATGAAATAAGAAATTGTCTAAACTGCTAAAAAATAAATTTGGGAACTTTATATAAAACTTTGAAAAAAATTTGTTATAATTTGTGGTATATGTCACAAATATAAAGGTTACAAGAAAACTCTACACAGGCATCTTGATTAATCATGTGAGTGGAAGGTCACAAGTTTCCCTAGAGGTTTTACTTGATTTATTTTCTCTTTAACTCTTCCTCATTACTATTTATCTTTGGTTTTGTATTATTTGTTCTGTGTCCCATGCTGGAATGTAGGATATTGATTGTTGTCTGTTTTGTTCATTGATGTATAACCAGCACCTAGATCAGTACCTGGGATGTAGTATGTACTCAGTGTCTGAATTGATTAAGATAAAATAACACTAAAACTTTTCAAATAGTAATGATACAAAAATAATCTAAATTTTGGTGATTATTTTCATCTATTATCATAAATGTACCTGAATTAGGAATTTGAAGGGGGATATAGGTTCTTACCTAGAATTAAGATTAACTCCATCTATTCCCATCTTAAACAATGGGAAAATGTAGTGAGTTAACAACAATGAAAAAACAAAAGCAAGGAAGATGTTTAAAAAGCATAAAGTTATTTTGATACAATACTGGAATTTTTTTTTTTTTTTTTTTTGAGACAGAGTCTCGCTTTGTTGTCCAGGCTAGAGTGAGTGCCGTGGTGTCAGCCTCGCTCACAGCAACCTCAATCTCCTGGGCTCAAGCGATCCTCCTGCCTCAGCCTCCCGAGTAGCTGGGACTACAGGCATGCGCCACCATGCCCGGCTCATTTTTTCTATATATATCAGTTGGCCAGTTAATTTCTTTCTATTTATAGTAGAGATGGGGTCTCGCTCTTATTCAAGCTGGTTTTGAACTCCTGACCTTGAGCAATCTGCCCGCCTCGGCCTCCCAAGAGCTAGGATTACAGGCGTGAGCCACAGCGCCCGGCCAATACTGGAATTTTTATTTTTCATGTCTCTTTATTCCTAGGTTTACTGTTGATATAAAGATAGATAAATACATTCTTAAAATTATTAAAACGGAATCAAAGTAACTAATGTGTTAATTCCTTTTTTATACATGGTTGCCTGGTTTGAAAAATCCAAGGAGATTATTCTAAGTCGAGGAAATTCAAAAGATGAAGCTGTTATAAATATGATAGAAGACTTATTCGATCTTTTGATGGTAAAAATCTCATTGATTAACCAATGTCATAAAGCATGTGTTTATTTAGAAAACAGTTTGTGTCCTGTATTCCCTAAGTGTAAAAGTCACTAACAGATTGGTTAGCGAGTCTATTTAGATTGTATAAAGTATCCTGGTTAATATAGTTAAATGGTTAGTTAATAGATAAAAAATAAATAATTTTGTTGTGAGTTAAAATGTAATCTGTCATTTTAATACTGTTTGTAATGATTTATAATAGAAGACAGTAAAGTGTCAATTAAATATTATTTACTTTTTTTCAGGTCATACATGATGTCAATGATGAAGGTATAATAAAAATTTTATTTATGTTGGAACAATAAATTGTTAGAGTTTTAGTATAATTTTTGCAATTCGTATAGTATTGTCCTAATATTAAGAACTCTATCTAATTTAAGGATCAACAAACTTTTTCTGTAAAGGGCTGATAGTAAATATTTTAGACTGTGTACTACAAGAGAAAAACAATTGAGAATATTATTAATTTATAGGTACTTCTATAACAAGAAATAAAACATACATCTACAAATGTTTTGTTGATGCAATTGAAATATAATTGAGTACAAATTTTTGAAATACAGGTCTAATGAGGAAAATAGTAGTCTTTCTGAGAAGATAACATTTCACATAGAGTTCAAAGTTAGTGTTTCCTGTTTTCAAGGTCGATTGCATGTGTTCATTTAATGCTTATTTGTAATGAGATTTTATGTATGTTACATTAGAAAATGTCTTTTCATGCAGATAATGTCAAATACTGAGTTTATGAGCATGATTTTAATTGAGCATGTTCATCACTTGGAATGCCTTAATAGTATTGTTACATTATTAATATTTGCCTTTTAAAATGTCATTGCATTGCAGATTAATCACTTTCAATTGCAAGTTATGTAGAAGCTTCTGAATTGCATGCTTGAAAGGATTTTGAAATATGGAAATTCCTTTGCATTTACATCAAGGTCCAAAAACATTGCTGGACCTGTGATTGAAGCTTGGAAAAAAATATATATCCCCTGCAATTCTATGTGGGAATGGATATGTTGCTTCTTGTTTTAGCTTTTGATAGTCTGTGACATATATAAAACAGCTTTGCATTCCAGTAACTTTAGTTATCAAAATGACTTTACTGCAGTGTAAGTTCATCATATAAGCACTATTTTATCTTTTAATTTGGGGCTCAATTTTTTAAGAAACATTATCAACTTTGCATCCAATGTTAATTATCAAAGGCAGTATTCGGTAATAATGGTTGAGGACAATTGTTTAGAAAAATTTCAGTCTTGACTCTGAGTCTCAAAAGTCACAGTAAAATTTTATCACTGCTAAGCCATTGGACTGCTTTGTGGAAGGGCAAGTCATAACACTTATTTCTGACAAAAATTCACATAATTGACTATGGCTAAGTTCATAAGAATGAATGAAATTCACCTTTGGCACCACTGGTTCAATAAAACATAATAGATGCAAATATTTTCCATAGAGCACCTGCTGATGAATAATATAGCCATACAAAAACAATTAGTTGGATTTAGTTTGTGGGCAATAGATTGCCAACCCTTGATCTAATAGACTGGAATTTTCAGTGGAAAACTGAAAATACAGAACATATTACTACTAATCCTTTCACTTGTGGCTGACAAGTGATTTGTGCCAAGCAGTCATACCCAAGTTCTTTTATCTCTGTGTTTGTTGGAAGAAAACTTAACTGGGACTGGTAATTGAGTCTGATGAATTGTTTATAAATAAAACTATGTGCTGCCTTCAAAGCAAAAATGTTTTAAAAGAATTGTCATTGATTTAAATAATGGCTAATGCTACCTTTTCATTGATTTTTTTTTTTTTTGTGGTTAACATAATTTAGTTTAAATTCTTAAGTTTTTAGGGAGAAAATAATCCTAAAGTACCATCAATTGTAAAGTGATTCAACTGATGTTTTTTAAAGTAAATCATTGTATCTTTTCCTCTGAGTTTTTTTTTGCTTTCAATGTAGTCACTTTGGAAAGTTGTACATTTGCTGTTGCAGTATTTCTACTTAAAGTTATATTTAAAACTTGTACTATGAAATGGCATGTAGTAAATTCCTCTGAATATATTTAGTATTGATAAAGCCTCATATTTTGAAAATGGGTTAATTTAAAAGTAGCTCAAATCATCTAAAGCTTCACAAAGTCAAGATATGTTAATGGTCTTTATGAGTCTGTAAGAATTTTTGAGGTATGACTAAAAATTAGGCCAGTTTTTGTAAAAGTCTCAAAATAGAAATTTCCACTTTTGAACTATATTTACTTCATCTAAAAAAACTGCTTTATTTACGTGAAATAAGCTGAATCTGGAATTATTCTCTTGAAAGCATTAAGATCAGTCACATCTGTTGAGTGGTATTTTTTTTCAAGGCCACATGGCTAGTTGCAGAACTAGGATTTAATTTTCATGTTTCCTGATGCCTAGGTCAGAGGGCTTTCTTCTGAACTGCACTAATAGATACTTTCCATTAACTTATATAAGAAAAGACTGCCATTTAAAAGGATTTAAAATGAACATTTATCAATAATTTAACCCTTTTATTCAGGTAAAAAACAAATAGTGGAAAGTTTTATACCTCGCATTTGTGCCCTGGTTATTGACTCAAGAGTGAATATTTGTATTCAGCAAGAGGTAAAGTCATTTACTTGATTATCTTTTAAAACCTAAGAATAAGAAAGTGAAAAAAGTTTGATAGCAATTATCAAATAGAAAAATGATTTTATCTTGGACTAAATTAATTACCTTGTAGTATATTTCTGTTGTCTTAACAACTCATTGTCTGACATAATGAACGTATTTCCTAAATATTGAAATTTTATGACATATGGGTTCATATAGGTATATAACTCAATGAAAATAAATTATACTATCCAGATATTAGTGATTCTTAAGTATTTAAATGCTAAAATCTGTATTAGTGTGTGTGTGTGTACATACATATACCAGAAGAGCAAAAATTAGGTATCATTTTTGGCTTCCTTACATCTTACAATAGAGTAATAATAAACATGTCATATTAAAAAAATGTATAAATACTTTATATAGGAATCATGTTATATTCTACTTTTGATATCCTGTGGTTTATGTTGTTTTTATTCACTATTTTATACTTTATATTCTTTCCTGCACTCCATTCCTGGAACAAAATGCAGTGATTAAGAAAATATTAGCCTTCTAACTTTATGTACCTAGAATATTTCTGTAAATACTTCATTTTGGCTGAATATAAAAGTAATGCATTATCTTTTTTTCTTTTCTAGACTCTAAAAAAAATGAATGCTATGCTGGACAAAATGCCTCAAGATGCCAGGAAAATTCTCTGTAACCAAGAAATGTTAATTCTCATGTAATAATTTGTACTATATTTCTTTTATTCAAGTCAAGAATTTAAAGAATGTCTTATAAGGCAATAGGGAGTTTGCATTAATAATATGATAAACTGTTGTAGCTTTTTAGTATAATTTAATATGTGTATGTAATTTCTGCAGTAGTCAGAGATACTAGCCAACTGTAAATTTTAGTGAAGATTTTTTTTCTCCCAAACATAAGGACTTTCTATTTAATTGATATTAGTCCAGTATAAAATCTGTTATTTTATTCACAGGAGTAGTATGGGAGAAAGGATTTTAGATGCTGGAGGTAAGTATGTCTTTCCAAAATTTGAAATTATTCCAAATTTATAAATCTTGATAGTATATAATATCCTTTTAATCAAAGTAATATTTTCATTGTAATGTGGTAAGATTATGTGAGGGAATTATAAACTATGTACAATGAAGCAATTTTTAAAAATTTACAAATTATTAAAAAATTAAAAATACCATTGGGACAAATATAATAAATTTATCATGACAACAGGAGTTAGATAAACATAATTTGTGATTAATGGTAGATTTATGAATAATTCAATTTTCTAATACATCTGCATTACTTGTGCTAAGAAATTCCTCAAGATGGTATTTTATGAGATTAGGAGGTCTAATATTCGTGGGATTGATAGACTTGTTTTTAAACAGTGTATTTACTAAAAGGACTTGAAATTTCTGTTTCCTATGAATAAATTTTAATGTAGTGATTTACATATAGAATAAACCATGGTTTATAGTATTCTGGGATAACTATAAATATCATGTTACACAAAAGGAAAACAAAAATCTGTGATTTATAAACTACTGTATAAGTCATTTTGCATTTTATAACTGTAATAATGAAATTGCAGTGCCTTTGAATATTTAGAAGTCTTGTTTAAATTTTTTTTTATAATTTCACTTTTTTCTTCTATTAGTAAACTTGTGATATGGCTGCCTTAATTCCTGTAATGAGATATCTCTAATCCATATGAAGAAAATAGAAAAAGATGAATAAATTACAGTAACATTTTTCTTATTCTGATGCCTTATAAAATATATGGACTTTTATAAACTTATTTTTCATAATTTCAAATCAAACATTAACAATTTTTTTAAAAAAATTAACAGTTAAATTAAACAATTTGTTACATTAAACAATTGTTAAAAAATTAATTTTTTTTTTTTTTTTGTAGATTATGACTTACAGGTAGGCATCGTAGAAGCTTTATGTAGAATGACCACAGAAAAACAAAGACAAGAACTGGCATGTCAGTGTTTTTCAATGGATTTTATTGCTAATGCATTTAAAGGAATTAAAGACTCTGAATTTGAAACAGTAAGTAGTATAAAAATAACAGAAATTGGTTAACTTTAAAAAAATATTTTGAGTTTAAGAAGTCTTTCTCTCTTTTTAAAAATAGGATTGCAGGTTATTTCTCAACCTTGTGAATGGCATGCTTGGAGACAAGAGAAGGTAAGCCTAATGCAGTATACAACCATTTACAGACAAAGAAATTGAGCTCAAGAAGGAGCACACCCCAGTGTTGGGTCTTTGTAAATTTAACTTTATTCTGTTATGTTGGAGTGTAAAATGTTCATGGATATTTACTTTAAAACAATGTCTTACATAACATCATTTAGTCAATTACTGCACTGGTAGTCTGAAATCTTTTACTGGCCTTGTTTTGCTTTGTACTTTTTAGAGGAAAAGGTTCATTTTTATTTAATTCATACTAATTAATAACTTTATCCAAAGTTGATTTTCTGTATTTCAGTTGCACATACATTATTAGTGTTTGAGGAGAAATAAAAATCTAGACACATGTATTACTTGAATTGCCTCCTTCATATACATACTGAAATGAAAATAAATAACAAGTCATCTTTCTTTGTAATTAACATACTGTAAGTATGATCTTTCTGAATAAAGGATACATGATTATAAATTTTTATCAGTTTTTTTAACACATTGTAACACAAAAGAAACAAAATTTTCCTTGAGGTCACAGTATTATGAAAATAGAATAAAAACTTTGAGTATAATTTTAAAGGTAAACATAAATGGAAAACTGAAATTGACTTCTATTTATTTAATTCATGTTTTTAGAATTAAATTGTCAATATTAATTGTAACAATAAGAACATCAACAAATAAGAGTTTATACATGCTTCACACAGCCCTGAGGTCAAAACTTAGAATGAGTTAAATGTAACTCTCATGGAAGTTAATGTGTTAAATAACATAGAGGAGTATTTGCAATGCTTGTCGCCTTATAGATGTTCATAACATATTTATTGGATGAATGAGTTCACATTTACTTACTAAGGAAATGAAAGATAGGGTGAGGATTAAGTGCAGGGAGTCATAGTGCCTGGGTTTGAATGATAGATTCCCTTCTTCCTGTTCTAATATTGAGCAAATTATTTAACCTTACATGCCTCAGTTTCCTTAGATGTTCAGTAACAATACCAGCTTCTCATAAGTTTGTTGTAAAGATTAAATGAGATCATAGTATACTAAGTGTTCAAAATAATATCCAACCAAGAAAGCATTCTGTGAATTTAGCCATTTTTATTAATAGAATTATTCACTTAGAGTCTCTTTTCCCACCTAAGTACTACAGGAACTTCCATTGTATTAATAGTATAAAATCAATTAGGAATCTCTGCTCATATTTGACAGCACAAAAAAAAATTTAGTGCACTTTAGCCAAAATAGTAGGTTAAGTAGTATCCTCAAAGTAATAGGCTTTTCTCTACATAAATGAATTTCCATTAAACACTTATTTTAAAGAAATATTAAAGATTGCAATATTTTACTCAAACTTTTATTAACATTACCTGATTTGCTTTTGATTCTAGGCATGATTTCTATGGCTGGACAAGATTATGCTATGAAGGCTTATTAATTTTTTCTCAAACTACTTTATTTCAGGGTCTTTACATTTCCTTGTTTATCAGCATTTCTTGATAAATATGAAGTAAGTTTTAAATTTAGCACATGTTATTTTAGTTATTGGATGGATTTGAATGCAAGGATTAAGTAAATTAGTTAAAAATTGATAAGAACATTAAAAATAGCTATGAATAGATCACAAATACAGCTGGTCTAGTATTGTATCTGACAGTGACACCAGGAGAAATTTTATGAAACTTTATATCCACACATAGCTAAGAATAACTGAAATATAAAGGCTGTAGTTATACAAATTTTCTCTTGTTTCCTTAATCCCATTATTATTTATAAATATATTCAAACTAATATTTTTAATCTTTATTATCACTTGGAATATTTGATTCTGAAGTTAGCCATTTTTGTGTAAAATATTAAAGTAGCATTTCTTTTGAATGTTTCTAAATTTATATAAATGTTGCTGTTTTTCTCTTCCCTCATCTTCTGACTATAATTTCCTTTAAAAAATTATCCATAGATATAACTCATTTTTCCGTTATCTTTAAAAGTATTAGTATAACTAGTTTTATGTTTATTTTATTAGCTGCAAATACCATCAGATGAAAAACTTGAGGAATTTTGGATTGATTTTAATCTTGGAAGCCAGACTCTATCATTCTACATTGCTGGAGATAATGATGTGAGCTTTATTCCCTTAGTATTAGTCTATTTATAATGTATATATAAATTTTTAAATTCACTTTAAGATTGTGATTTATTTTATATTTTTTCTAGCTATTCTTTAATAGATTTCAGTGTCTGTAGTTTTGATTCGCATTCTGATGCTTAGTTGTAACAAAATGATGCTAAACTTTATACTAATTTTAACATAACCTTTTCAGAAATAAATTACTTGTTAATTAATGACAGATAAAATTGTATATTCACATGAAGAAAGTGAATTGACTTTAGAAAAGGTAATAGTTAATTCAAATGATGAGCACATCATTAAAGACAACATTAACAGATAATGACAAATCATCTTAACTTATTCATTCATAAAAACTCTCTCTTGAAAATAGTGAGGGATTGATTCTTACAGTAGCATTTGGAGTGACTTTTAGTTCTTTTCTTTCTATGCCAAATTGTAGCTGTGCTTAAAAATTCCAAACAGGTGGCATGTTTTCTACTGATACCGTTTTACCTGAGGAAATCCTTGAGTCATTGTTCTTAACACCTGTCACCTCATATTTGGTACATTGGCGTACTTCTAGCTCAAACTGTGTAATTACTTAGCCAAAATCTGAATTAAAGTTGATCAGCATTTACTAATCTGGTTTGGCTGGTGATGTTATAATAAGGCATTAGTCTCTTCACTCTATTTCTTATATTATTCTGCTTTTTGTGCCAGGTTAACTCTGTCTAGTTGAACATTACCAGAATATCTCTTAGGATTTCACCATACCTTTCTTTTTTATTTTAGAGTACCTTCTTAGAATGCCTAATTAAAATGAGTTCCAGTGACAAGTGCTACTTCTCAGGGGTATTTACAGTTTTTATTAGCGTGTTTCTCCTGCAGAGTTTGTTAGGAGTATTGCACCTGAATTTTCTTTGAGGAGCTAGAATTCATTTTGGAAGAAGAGAATAGTATTGATAGTAATGTCTGCCTGAGCAGTGGTGGGGAACCTGTGGCCTCAAGGTCATATGTGGCCCTCCAATCCCAAGTGCAACCCCTTGGGATTGTTCTGTAAAATTGGATTTAGTCGAAAGGCTGCATCGAGAAGCCACATATAGCTCCAAGGCTGCAGGTCCCCACACCTGCTTGATTTAGATAAGAAAATAATTTATTATACTTACAGCATTATACATGATAGGGAAGTATAAAAATCATTTATAAGTGTTAAATGCCTACTGTGTTCTAGACACTGACCAGGATGTTGGGGATTCTTCTTTCCAAAAATATATTCAGAATCATCTCTCTTTGAATTTCTATAGTTGTAGTATGACTGCCTGTATTCCCTCTTGCTCTCTCAGAAACCATACCCAAATAGTGGCTGCTTAACCCTTCTCTTTGACATAGCATACAAAGCTTTCTATGACTGGCTTCTGGCTATTTCTCTGATATCTCATGCATTCTCTGTGATTACTATGTTCCAGGCATATTCATTTTTTTCCTATTTCTCTAACATAGATCATGCCTATTTCAGATCTTTCTACTTCCTAGTTCTTCTGCCTAGAACATCTCCTCAAGATCCTTGCATTTTAGTTCTTCTTATTTAGATATCAGCACAAATGTTAACCTCTTTATAGAGGTATTCTCTGGCCACTGAATATGAATAGCTCATAGCTATGTTGTATTACATTGGCCTGTTTACTCCTTTATAGTAGTTATTCATTTATAATCATTTGTATGTTTGTTATATGTTTCCTGCATAGAGTATAAGATTAATGAGATCAGGACCTGCTCTTTTTTGTATAGCTATTCAAGAGCTCATAGTTTTGCAAGAATGAATAAACGGATTTATTGAAAGAGCTGGAAGATACATAGAGTTCATAGGCGATTAGAAGGAAATAGGCAGTGTAAAGCCAAACAAAGATTATAAATAAGAGTAACACCCATCAGTTCAGTGAATATTAAGAACTTAACTATGTGCCAGATAAATACTATGTACTAGGAAACACATTTGTGTAAAAGATCCCTGGTAGGAAAAGTGAATTTAATATATAGTGGAAGATGGATTAAAAAGGGAAAAAAATGGTGCCATTAGGAGACTTTTTGTAAAATCCAGGTGAGAATCAACATGGTGGCATGGTTTTGGAAGGGATAATGGGGATATGAAATGGATAGATTCCAGAAAACAACGTAGAATTAGCAAACTTGGTGATCTATAGTTAAAAAAAAAAAGAGAAGGATAATAAAACTTGGATAACTAGATGGATGGGTATGCTGTCACAAGAGGATACATTTTGTAGGAAGGATGGATGAATCCAACTTAAATGTATTGATTTGAGATGCTTGTAGTATATTCAGCTGAAGATATCTGGTGAGTAGTTGTATATGTTGATATGAACCTAGGTACAAGAAAACTGAGCCATAACTGGAGATATAGAAGCTATATATAGATACAAAACCATGGGAATTAATGAGTGCCTAGATGAAAGACCTGTGAAAAACACAGATTTCTACAGGATAGGTAAAAGACTCCAGCCAGAGATACATGAAGAATCAGCCAAAGAAACAAATTAAGGGGTATAGTATTATGGAAGACAAGGGAAGAGTTTTTATAAGAGGAAGTGATCAACACTGTCACATCTTTCTGGGTGGGGTTAAATAAAAAAGTGCCATCCATGAAAGAGCAGTTTTACTTAAGTGATGAGACTTTAGGTATTCCTGAAAGCTGAAATACTTGTTGAGAAAGTAAAGACATCAAGTTTAAGGGAAAGAGCATAGTAGTAGCTAGAGGTGAGATGTGGATTCAAGAGGAAGGGTTTTGTTAGGTACTTTAAGGATAAGACTTTTAAAAATTGATGACAAGGGACAAAGGAGGAGATTGAAGGAAAAAGTTGAGGTCAGGAGGAAGGAGTATAATTAATGGAGGAGGTGGTGAAGATGGAACAAGATTGCTACAACATATGGTTACTGTTCAAGCTGTAAGAGTTTGTTAACTTAATCTGTTTGAAAATTCCGTTATATGTATATACTACTAAAAAGGAAGGCAGTGAACTCAGATGCCTGAATATATGAGGAAGAGTCATGTTGAAGTTGCTAGATTATAACAATCACTAGAGTGAAGTATGAGAGTTGGCATATTCCTCAAGGACAAGTTTTTACACAAAAAAATGAGCTGCTCAAAGCTTTGGGAAAAGCTTTAGAGTCCCATTTTTTAGGAATGGTATCTAGTTTCTACCATAACTTTGTAAATTCAATACCATTTTATTTAGTTATACAAATTTTTAATGACGGTACTTTGAAGGGGGAAACATTTTAGATTATCATTCATGTGCATTCAATGCTTGATAAAATGACAATGAGTATTGTGGTTACAGGTTGTGGAATAGGTAGTAGTAGTGGGAATTGAATGAGTAGAATTTCACAAAATATTTCAAAAGAAAAACAAAAGGATTTGGTAACATTTTTAAAAAGAATATCTTCTAATAAATATTAATGGATAGTCATTCTTTTTTTGGCTAAGAATAGGAAACTGTCAACACCATCATTTATTTTCTTTTAAGAATGAACAAGTAGATTAAATGTAACATGTATAATATGTAGTCGATGGAGCAAAAGTGTTATATAAATTGATTACTTAGTGATATTTGGTTTAAAAAGAAACCTTTATAGTTTGAATAGCATAAAAATTGGTGCTAAAAGAGGCTTTATATCATGAATAAATTATTATTTATTTATGGCCAAAACCTGTTTTTAAATTTAAGGATCATCAGTGGGAAGCAGTTACTGTGCCTGAGGAAAAAGTACAAATATACAGCATTGAAGGTATTAAACTTGTTTTTTTTATAATTGTCTTCTTGATTGTTATGTGAAATAGAAGTTGCATTCTCTTCTTTGGGATAACAAAATGGACTAATGAAGGCAAAATCAACATTCTCAGATGTTCACTTAGTAAATGCATCAAATTCCTTGACCCTGAGTTTTCCCCTGCAATTTCCCAGCTCTCTCCCATACTTATTTCCTTCCCATCTAGTCTAGAACCCATGATCAATGCATTTGACCACTCTCTGGGCAATATATTCAAGGCTCTTGCCCTTCCATCCCATTTGTTTAAATCCAAACATCTGTTTTCTCCACTCCTATTACACCATAACTATTACAAAATAAGATATTAAGACATATTTTAATCATCTCAATAGACTTGTAGTATATTTCATTATGGTGTTTATTTGGATTTTCCTAATGACAGGTGATATTCAGCACTTTTTCACATGCTAATTGACCATTTTTATGTCTTCCTTTGTAAAGTATTTGTTTAAATAATTTGTCCATTTTTTTTTATTGGATAGTCTTTTTTTATTGAGTTTTAGGAGTTCTTATGTATCCTGTCTTTTGACAGATATATGTTCTGTATTTTCTCCTAGTCTGTATTTTGCTCCCCCTCCCTCTCCCACTCCCCCTCCTTTTTTTGCTAAAGAAGCAAGTTCTGAGCTTACTTATTTTCTTAATGGTGCCTTTGGTGAGCAGAAGTTTTAAAATTTGAAATCTACTTGATTAAATTTTTTATGGTTATTGCTCTCTGTGACCTATGAACTTTTTGCCTACTCCTAACTCACAAAGATGTTCTTTTATTTTTTTATAAAAACTTTATGGTTTTAGCTTTTATGTTTAGAATTAATCATCTCAAACTAATATTTGATTATGGTGAGATACAGGGATTAGAGGTTCATTTTATATACAGACATGCAGTTATTTAAGGATTATTGCTGAAAAGGCTTTCATTTCTTGGCTGGATTTCTTTGGTTGCTTCATTGAAAATTGTATGAACTCCATAAGAGCAAGTCTATTTCTTGGTGCTCTAATCTGTTCATTGATCTACTTATGATTCTTTATTCCAGTACCACACTGTTTGGATTATTGTAAACTTATGGTTAGTCTTGAAGTCAGCTAGTATAACTCTTCCAACATTGTGGATCTTTGTTTAGAATTCTTTCGGATATTCTAGGCCTTTTGAACTCTCATATAAATTTTACAACTGGTTTGTCAATTGCTTCAAAAAACCTGTTGGAATTAGAATTGAGGTTGTAGATCTGAATGAGGGGAAATAAAATGTTAACAATAGTAACTATTCAGTCCATAAACTTGGTGTGTCTCTCCATTTATTTAGGCCTTTGATTTCTCTCAATGTTTTATAGGTCCTGGTTCCCTGTTTGCTGCTGTTTCTTGTGGATGTACATCTATGTCTTTATATTGAAGGATTATTTATTCCAGTCTTCTCTGTCTGACTTGCTTTGGTTTTTATTGGATATGTTTGCTTAAATATTATTTTTAATTTACCTGTATTGTACATCTTTTGATAAATTTATTCCCAAGTATTCAGTCTTTATGACTGTATATAGAATTGATATTTAATTTTATTTCCCAATATCTTCTGGTGTGTATAAAATACAATTTATTTTTTTTTTGCATATTTTCCTTGTATCTTCCTTGTATCATACACCCTTACCAAGTATACTGTTTAGTTTTAGTAGTTGTAGTGTGGATTTCTGAGGATATTCTAGGCAATCATTCATGGGATCTGAAAACAGAGATATAGTTTTACTTTTTCCTTTCTGATCCTTATGTACTCTTCCTTTTCTTTATTCCCTTCCATTTTTTTACTTTATTGCAATGAATAGAACCTCCAATACAAAATTGAATAGAAGTAGTAAAAGTAGACATCTTTGCCTGCTTCCTGCCTTGGCTTATGGAAAAACATTCATAATTTTACCATAAGCATGATGTTAGCTGAAGGTTTTTTACAGTTAATCAGGTTGAGGAAATTGATGAGTCTTCACCTTTTTACACACACACACACACACACACACCCATACCTAAAACCATCATGGCTATCAAGTTAATATTTACCTTTGGAAGAAACCTCTGAAATGTTCTCTAAAGTGATTTTACTATTGTACATTTTCACTATCAGTGTGTAAGAGTTTCAGTTCTGCATTCTTGCCAACACTTCATATGGTCAGTCCTACCTTCTTGCTTTATTGCACTAGCTAGAACCTTCAGTATAATGTTAATAGTTATTGTGACAGCAGATATTTTTGCCTAGTTCCTGATGTTGTGGGGGCATTCTTTTTTCTCACCATGAAGTATTTCATGGTGATGGTTTTTCATATATGCCCTCTATCTTTTGACTTTTTAATAACAGATTTCATAGAATTATTGGCTAAAATAATTCATTTCCCCCTACTTTGTTCTTTTCTTTAGCATGCTATGATTATTTTAAAGCCTATATTCATATCTACTAACCATAATATCTGAATCATCTGTAGGTGTTGTTCTAAGGTCTCTTTCCCTCTCTTGGTCAGTCATATATTGTCTCTATGCATGTCGAGTAATTTTATGATAGACAGTCCATATAAAGAACTATAGAGGCTTCCAGATGGTCTTCCACCAGAGGATATTTCTTCTTTCTGTCTTCTTAGAGAGGATAAATGGCTGATCATTTAAATCCAGTCATGGATGCTGATCCACATTTGGTTCTAGTTTTATAGACTTTCTGTCTTGATTGCCTCTATTCCTCAGGTGTGATCATTCCAGTCTGTTATGAACCTGTTAGGTTTATGTCTTCTGATCCTAAGAGACTGTGAAAGATACAATTCTGCCTTTTATAGGATTGTAGCCCAGCTCTCCAGCCTCTCACTCCACTCGGCCCAAACTTTGACAGAGTTTGGAGCGGGGAAACTGAGTATATGCCTGAGGCTGGCACCTGTATCAGACTAAGTCCCTGAGACTATCAGAGAGTTAACTCCGCCTTTTAGCAGCTTTGGTCCAGCTCCTTATGCTCCTCAAGAAAGAAGAGAAAATGAGTCATATATTTAAAGCCTCTAAGTTTCATATTTGTGTCTTCAGGCATCTTTCAATAATCTTTCTATTGATTACTGAATACTTGCTAATTTGTCTTTGTTTCAACAGAGATTCTCTTCCTAAGCCTACACCCCAAATTGGCAAATGCCCCTAGAGAAAAAAAAGCCAGAGATCTTGTTACTTCCACAGCTCTCTGATACCTTTAAACATAGGATTTTTTACTTTTGATTTTTTTCGTTTCTTTTTTTTTTAAGCAGGATATATTGGCCTGCCACAGTATACTACATTTTACCCAGAAGTAGAAGTCTCCAACTTCCAATTTTGGAGTCTCTCTCACTGCTACTTGGCATTTCTTCCATGTCCATAGTCACATCCCCTATCCAGTTCTCTAACATCAGCTATTTTAAATGTTTATAACCATCCTTAAGAGCCTTGCTTTTTTCTTTCACTGTGATAATTCAGAAAAATGTGAATTTTTCAGGTAAGAATGCCTACTAATTTTGGCCCTTCAGATCCTCTATCTCCAAACATTTTTGCATCTGTATCCTCATTTATCTCTCCTGTAAATGGAAGAGATGTCTTCTCTTGTTCAAGGCTAATTTCTCTGAGTTCTTCATTCAAATTCTTCAGGTCTTTGTTCCATCAATTCATGTTTCTTGTATCTTCTTCCTCTCTCTCAATAGCTCTTTTCTCTAAGCAGATAAATGGGCTCAAATTGTCTACATCTTGAAACCAAAAGCCTACTTGGATCCTGTCTTCCTTTAGTTATCATTTTTTTCTTTCATAGACAGTTTTGAAAGAAGAGTTTTTACTAATCCTTTTCTACTATTCATTCTTGTTCTTATTACATTGTGTTTTATATCCTTACTCCAGTGAAATTTCAAATATCAAGATAACAGTTAACTCTTCTATAATAATTAAAATCAGTGCACTCACTCACTTGTCCTTATAATTGACCCTTCTCCCACATTTGGGACTACACTTTATTTTTTTAATTCATTAAAAAAAAATTTCTCTGATGAGCTCTAGATGCAGGTATGAATAACCCCATTCCACTTGGATATTTTCACAAATATCTAAAACCCCTGATCTGAAACCATACTTTAAAGAGCACCTCCTATCTTGACAAATGGGATGATAATCTGTCAAGGTCCCAAAATATAGAAGACATTCTTGACTTTTTTCTCTCCCCTAATTAGTCACTTTCCATGTTCATTCATTTCTGCCCCTTAATATCTTTTGAATCTCTTTTCTCCCCCTTTATTTCATGTCTCCTTAACCTGAAGTGATTCATGTTAATCATTGCCATCACTTCCTGATAAAGTTGTCTTTTGCATTTCACCAAACCTAGGTTCATGTAATTGGATGAAAAGTTATTTTCATATATTTAATGATACAACTGAAAGCTTGGTTTTCAAGATACATTTGCCAATATGTAACTCATTTTATGAGGATGCTTTTATAAAAATTTAAGTTCTTTAAGTGTGGATTAAAGGTTTTTAAAAATGGTTTTATAGAAGGAAGAATATAATATTTTCATAAGAATAGGATACTAGAATCCCATAGAAGTATCTAATATGTTGATATCCATAAACACTTGGATATTATAGCAAGCAACAAAATAGGAAATTTTTTGGTATCTCAGTAATATTGCCAACTAATTAAAAAGCAAAGGAAGCCATGATATAGTTGAGTGGTCAGAGCAAATATCAGAAACTTCAACAAAGCAACCAATAAAATATAACAAATATTAACAAATTTCTGTGTGGATACTTACAACATATGTAGACAAAGTTTTGTACAGATAGGCATAAAGCATTCATCAAAATGATAAATTTGAAGTAACTCTAATACCATGTGCATACAAGCAGTGAAAGCAAACATTGCATTTAATATAAGTTCACAGTAGGCTGCAGGAATAAAAATCAAATGTGTATCAGAGGGGGATATACCAATCAGCAAAAATATCCATAAGGATTATAAATGTTTTAGTCTTCATCATTATAACATGAAACATTACCATCATTAAAGCCACGTAAACGTTCATCTCTGAAAACTTATTACTGTTGAACTCATGTGACTTTTTTTTTTAAACTATTTAGCACTCTTTGAGTTTGAAACTATGTCATCACTACCTTCAAGCAATGAATAATTCTTGATGCCTTCAAAGGGCATTGCTGTGGAATTTTCATGACCGTATACTTATAAAAGCAAATAAAACATTTTCTGTTTGGGCAAGCCTCAGAAAAATCAGAACATTTCATAGCTTTCTAGGGACATTTGTCCCTTAGGGCAGATCACCTTGGAGTGGCCTTCAGATCTTTTTTCAGATACAGAGATAAATTTGCCTACCCTGTGTGTTCTTTCTCCCTCAGGATGTTTTCCTCTGGCCCAAAAGTATACACTGGGGGCAACTGTGGAGTCTTCTCAGCCAACCACAGGAGCCCCTCCAGAGAGGCAGGACAGGAACATGGTGGCTCCTGGTTCTGGGGCTTTAGTCTATAATACACGTACCCTAATTGAGTGCCTGGTAATTTTTTGGTAACTTTTTAGAGGGATGGAGTGTGAACACCTTTTTTAAATTGGCACTTATCATATTTTGTTTTTACTGGATTGATAAATTCATCAAGGGTAAGGACTAAATCTCACCTCACAATTTCCTGATGCTTTTTAGCAAATATTATTATTTACTTTCAACATATTTATAACATTTGTGGATTTAATATAAATGTTTGAATAGATGCTCATTCCTAGAAATATAGTAATTGGATGGAATTAAAGTTAGTGGTTTTGTTTGCCTTTTTAAAATTAAGATAACAGTTTTCTCAGATACTTTCAAGAAATATTTTATTAAGAATCTATTGGAGTCTACAACCTATTTGAGGTTCTATCTTATTAGTTATAGCATTCGCCTGTAATTTATAGGTCAGGACACTGAGATTCTAATAGGTAAATTGACTGGATTTGTTTACCTAGGTAGTTAGTTTAAAACTTTTCAATTCGTAGAGTTTGAATTTTGATTCTAATTTTAATTAATACGCTGCAGGTTTTTCTTATTTATCGTATACTTATTTAGTAGCATAGAAATTGATATAAACTAATAGAGTGATTTGTTTGTGCACAGTGAGAGAATCAAAGAAGCTGCTGACCATAATTATGAAAAATATTGTAAAAATTAGTAAAAAAGAAGGAAAAGAATTGTTTTTGTATTTTGATGCATCATTAGAAATCACTAATGTGACTCAAAAAATTTTTGGTGTAAATAAATATAGGGTAAGTTTTTAAACTCTTCTTAATGTGTATTTACTATTTCTGGAAACTCTGGGGCTATAGGCTTCATTGCTTTTTTAATTCCATTTTAGAATTATTAAAGTGACACATAGATGTTCTTTAAACTTGTCCTGTGGAATAGCTATCAGCTTGTTAGCCGTATTCTTTGAGATACCTATTAGAAAGTATTTCAGATGACAAAATTAGCAGCAGCTGCTCAAAACATTTAATGAATTCCTGCCAGGTGTTTCAAAAGTAAATTGATAAAAAGCACTATTTTTAAGATATTAAACATTGTGAGAATTACACAAATGATACTTCAGAAGAAGTAAATAGGCATAGGCAAAATGAATTATAGAAGTTGTAGAAAGAATGCTCATTAAGAGTCGGGTTTGAAAGTAAGGCATTATTGTGAGATGGGTCTTGAAATGGCCTTTGAGTTGAAGATAGGATTTAGATAAGATACATTCCAGGATTGTGAAAGACATTATATGCCAGATATTTAACTGAGAATCTACGGTAACAATTTTCTTGCTATTTTGGGGAGATAGTCTATTGACAAGTTTGGATAGTGCAAAAAGATTTATATTAAAGAATATGAGAGAATATATTTGTGAAGAACCTTTGTACAGGGAACAAAGTGACAAGCTACAGAAATTGTGGTTAGTAGGGAGTAATTGAAGTGTTCTGAGAAGGTATTTATAGATGCAAAGTAATGATTTGGAATAATTTGTCAATTTTGGAAGACAGGAATAAATTGCATTAAGTGAAAACAAACTGGTATTGGGAAAACTGGACAGAAAATGACATTACTTTGAATTAACTTAATTTTAGGAATTTACTAGAAAACAAAGTATTTCAGTTGCCAAAACATCTGTGCATATACTTTTTGATGCAAGTGGATCGCAGGTATGTCTCTGATTTACTTGATTTTTATCATTGGGCTAAGTTTAACTATAACAAAATTATAGTTATAGTCCAGTAATAAAGTTGATGAGGGTGAATATATAGAAAACAAATGGTCTCAATATAAACAGCGCCCCCATAAAATATATATGATTTTTAAACATGATATTAATGATAATTTTAGTATAGAGTAGAGAGTTATTAATATCAGTTTGGTAACTTAAAAATTACATATCCATCCTTTCATGAATGTCAAAGCTTGTTTTATGTCTATTAACATTTGAAAAAGTGGATACTTTTTGTTGGGTCACTTTATAAAATTATAACAGTACATGGATAAAAGAGGGAAAGAGTTGACATTTATAAATGTGAGATAAGTAGGAGCTTTATTCTGACATCCAGTGATTTTTGAGAATTTCTGTTTTTTGCAGTTTTTTGTTTTTTCTTTCTGTAAAAATTATATTTATTTAAGAGATGAAGTCTTGCTCTGTAGCCCAGGGTGGGATGCAGTAACCTGATCATAGCAAAGGTATATGTTCTAACGTTCCACAGCAGAGTAGGGTGACTATAGTTAACAACAGTGTGTGTTATATATTTCAAAGTAACCAAAAGAGAAGACTTGAATTATTTCCAACACAGAGAGATGATAAAGTCTCAATGTGATGGATACTCCAAATACCCTGAATTTATAATTGCACATTGTATGTATATAACAAAATATCATGTGTATTCCATAAGTATGTAAAATACTATGTATAAACGAATAAATGAGGAATGTCTCCAAAGGATTTGGACCAAAAGCTGTTGTTTTAATTTTAAAAATGAATGTTATTAACCAGAAGGTATTTAAGAAATTTGAAATGTGTAGCCTGGCTTTTTGGTGGGTATTTCACATAAGAGTTCTTTAGCTTTTTGCAGTGATATATAGTTTTTCTGTATGGGCTATTGCAAAAAGAGAAATATTACTGTTCCATCAGTGACACCCATTAGACAAGAATCCTTTGGTTTAAGGCAATACATTTTTTTTTTTTTGAGACAGTCTCACTTTGTTGCCCAGGCTAGAGTGAGTGCCATGGCATCAGCCTAGCTCACAGCAACCTCAAACTTCTGGGCTCAAGCAATCCCCCTGCTTCAGCCTCCTGAGTAGCTGGGACTACAGGCATGCACCACCATGCCCGGCGGCTAATTTTTTCTATATATATTAGTTGACCAATTAATTTCTTTCTATTTATAGTAGAGAAGGGTCTCGCTCTTGCTCAGGTTGGTTTCCAACTCCTGAGGTCAAACAATACGCCCACCTCAGCCTCCCAGAGAGCTATGATTACAGGCATGAGCCACTGGGCCTGGCCTAAGGCAATAATTTTAATTAGCACAAACTCATGCAAATATTGTTTAATATTAATGACTTCTTGAATAGAAATAAGGAAGTAATATTCTTGGTTACCCATATCTAATTTTTGCAGTTTTAAATATTTTTTTTTTCACATTTTCCAACAGATTCTAGTGCCAGAAAGTCAAATCTCACCAGTCGAAGAGGAACTTGTTAGTTTAAAAGAAAACGCTAACTCCCAAAAGGAATTTGCTAAATCTCCAAAATACATCAAAAACTGTAATCAAGGAGATAGAAAAAATTGTCAGCTTGAGGTAAAATGGCATCAAAATAGTTGCATATAAAACTACTGTGGATCAAATAATTGCTATATATATATATATAAGTACAGAAAGAAGCAACTAGAATTTATGTAATAATGGCCTTTATGAAGGCCATTACATTTTGGAGTTTCCCCCCACCTTTTAGAAATACAAACAAAAGGTAGTGTCTTAGAAAATTTTCTATATGTGTAGGGGTTAGAAAAAATAAACTATACTTTATATTTGAAAATTACAAATCAGAGATACATAAGAAAACCTTTTTTGCATTTATCTTCTCTGTTCTATCTTTGCATTTTGCTATAATGTCTAATACAAATTTATAATGTTCTACTTATTTGCACAAGGAAAGAAAGAAAAGTATTAGGTTTTTTTTTTTCTTCTTCCTCGATTGAAGGATGTCCTCTAGGCCACATCCAATGGAATGATTTTTCAGCCTTTTTTTTTTTTCCCCATACCTTGCTGTGACACTTGATATGTCCTCTTTCTTAAGGTTCTCTCCTCCTTCAATTTCTATTTTGATCATCCTAATTCTCTTCCTACTTCTGTTACTACATCAAAGATACTTTCTCTCCCCACCTCCTTGTAGGTTTACTCTAAACTCAAAAGCCCGATACCCAGCCTTCTGAATATCTTATTGCCTTCCTTTTAGGGAGCTTCTTTTTATGTACATAATTTGAGCTCTTAAAATACACTAGACTTCTCTTCAGAGTTCTATAGTGGCATCTCTGTCTTCTAATATTTCCTGTTGGATGTTTCCTCAAGGCCTTTCCTGAAGTCTCAGCTCAAAAACACTTTATCTTTTGCCTCAAATCTGCATTTGTCTGTATACTTAATACTACCATTATTTTTTTCTGATAGTATCCTTGATTCCAGCCTCTTCTCCCCCATATCTAAAACCAAGATGCTAGTAACTATCCTTTCATAATATCTCTAACATTATTTTTTCCTTTCTTCTTCTAATATTACTTATCTCCACACACCTGAGTTAATTCAGTAGCCCTCCTTATTTATATTTCACATCATTGCTTCATCCTGCGAGCTACCCCTTATGGTATACCAGTGATTTTTCTTAAATATCAGTATCTTGATGGCATTCTTCTGATCAAAAAGTTTCATGATCTCTGTGTTCATCCCACTGACTCAATAAATTTCAACTTAGTTCTGAGACTTTCTATAACTTTCTCGTTTCTATTAAAACTGTAGTATATAGTCTCTAGTAAGGTCATTTGCTTTACTGTCTTTTTGTATGCCTTTCTTATTCTTGCCTTTAGGTTTTTATTTACCTTGTTTGTTCTTTTTTGTTTTTTACCATTACTTATCCAAAGCATATTTACATTTGTAATTCTTGCTTCATGTTTACTTTCTTCCTGGAGATTTCCTGATTATTTCGGGTTTTTGCTAATCTCTCACCTTTTAGATAACCATAACTCTCACAGGCTAGTCCATATTTTTTTGGCATATTTATGTTACTGTTTTTTCCTTTAGTCTTGTGTCCTCAAAATAAAAATGTCATCTATTATTTCCCCTAGATAATTAGATCACAAAGTCTATCTTTGGTGTCTTTATATCAGAATCATGTTGGGTGTTTATTAAAAATACAGATTCTTAGACCCCACCTAAAATCTATTGAATCATAAACTCTGGGAAAGGTCTTAAGCACACCAAAATTTGAAAAACAATGCAGTTAAATACCTACTTATGTTTTCAGTAATGATGAACTGTTTGAAGCATATATATGAATAAGTAGCTTTTCAGGTTGTATTCTCACTATACTACTACTAGAAACTAATTTCCTTAAGAAGAATCTGCTGGTTCAGATGCTTGTTTTCTGGTTAACCTTAGAATTCCATTTTCTTTTATTCTCCCTACCCTTCCCCCACAGCCCATATACATACCTAATCACAACTCCATTTATCCTCCTAATTTAGGGGCAAGTGTCTTTTTAAAAACAGCTCTCCAATGCTTATATAGAGTATGTCACTATCTACTCCTTTATGTGGCACTTTCTGAAACTCCTATCTCCTTTAGTCCCTGCCTCTGTTATCTACTTCTGTCACTCTCATAACTCACTCTGGGATGATGTGAGAAAATACAAACCTTACTGGAACCACTAGCTATGTGCCAGTGAATCTCTGAATTCCTGTAACTACTCCAGTTTAGTCTTCACAGGTTATTAATGAACTTTTCAAAAATGTGTGACAATTTTGAAGAATCCTTAACATTATGAAAACATTCAAAATAATTTTACATAAATATTTATCCAAATGTCACTCTTACAAAATAGAATAGGAAATTGCAAGCTATGATTAACTAGATAAACTCAATATTGATCAAATATTTTCAGCTAGCTTACAAAAGTACTGTATTTAGTAAGTCTGGATATTCTATAGTTTTTAAAAATATTTCTTGTTTGGGATACTTATTCAATACCAAATGTGAGGATAAAATCTTTCAAGTCAGCCTAAAACACAGAATTTTCTGGATATTGTTGTTAATTAAAAACCATATATCTTTTGCATGTAGCCAAGGCAAAATGTTATATGTAAAACTGTAGGATATTTAACTTCAAAAAGAATGTGTCTTTACTCTGGTTGTTTCTCATTATGGTTTAAGATAATTACTCCTAGCAAAAGAAAAATGTCTGAAGCATCAATGATTCTTACCGGTGCACATAGATACACTGAGAGAAGTCCACTACTTTTAACCAACACAAGTAAGTTTTATAATCTTAAAAGATTTCTGACAAGTATTATATTGTAAATGAGGCATTTTAATTCAGGGAAATTCTGGAAATAATTTACATAGAGGATAAGTTGGGGCTATAAAAATAGATTAAAATATGAACCGGTAATGTATTCTAATGCGAAGAAAGGTAAAATGGGTATTGATATACAGTGCTAAAATATTAAGCATTAATAACGTATCATAATTTAAGCAGGAGGCAGCATAACATACTAGTTAAATACCAAATTAATCAGGCTGCTTAGTGCCCTACTCCTGGGTTTGCACTTTGTACAGATTATCCTCTAGCTAAGTTTAAAACCAAATTTCTTTTTTTTCTTTTTATTTCATCATATTATGGGGGGGGGACAAATATTGTTAAGGTTACATATATTCCCCTTGACCCAGCTGTGTCAGAGCTTCCTCCAGGTGGTGCGTATCACTCATGTAAATATACACCCATTCCTTCCCCTCCCCTCCCACCTGCCCACCACCCATAAAGGTTTCTTTTAAGCAGAAAAATGTATCTACCTCATCAAGTTATGAAAATTTAATAGTTACCTTCTGTTCCATAAATCCAGTTGCCTACTAAGCTCCTCAAACTTAATAGGTACAAAATTGAGTTCATCTTTCCACCTTTCCACCCTCCTGCCAATTTTTTCTCCACTTTTTTTTTTTTTTCGCTCTCTGTCCCTGAGGCAAGAATGCAGAGGTGTCATCATAGCTCACTGCAACCTCCAACTCCTGGGCTCAAGCCATCCTCCTGCCTCAGCCTCCTGGGTAACTGGGACTACAGGCACATGCCACCATGCCTGGCTAATTTTTTCCTCCATTTTTTTTTTTTTTTTGAGACAGAGTCTCACTTTGTTGCCCAGGCTAGATTGAGTGCCGTGGCGTCAGCCTGGCTCACAGCAACCTCAATCTCCGGGGCTCAGCGATCCTACTGCCTCAGCCTCCCGAGTAGCTGGGACTACAGGCATGCACCACCATGCCCGGCTAATTTTTTGTATATATATTTTTAGTTGGTCAATTAATTTATTTCTATTTTTGGTAGAGACGGGGTCTCGCTCAGGCTGGTTTTGAACTCCTGACCTTGAGCAATCCGCCCGCCTCGGCCTCCCAAAGTGCTAGGATTACAGGCATGAGCCACCACGCCCGGCCCCTCCATTTTTTGATCTTAGTAAATGGCATCTATATCCACTTCTTTATCTAAATCAGAAACCTGGAAACCATTTTAGAACCTCCCTTTCTTACTTTCTTCATATGAAAAGTACCTCAATAATAATAATTTTAAAAAGTTCTAGCTATTCTTTGTCCTTTTTTTAAAGCAACACCACGAAAAGGAAGAAGTAAACCACCACTGCAAATGATGAGTTCTGCAGAAAAATCTGCTGTTTCTAAAACATTGGAAAATGAAGTGAATAGTGCTATATCACTTAAATCTAGATCAAGTAAAGGAAGAAATAGAAGAGAGAATACAGACAAAGTAACTTTACTTTATTAATAATTTTTTCAAATTGTAGAAATATATATATTATCGAGGTAACTTCTTTTGCAAGCAGTGTCTCACTTTGTTTAAAGCATTACTTTTTTTTTTCTAGGTATCATTTATTGTCCTTGAAAGTAGTCCTTCTGGCATATGACTCATTTACTGTGCTTATAGTAAAACTTATGAATATTCATTCTCCATAACTCTGATTTACACATTTGGTAGGAGAAATGGACTTGCCACAATAGTTTATTATACAAATTAGTGACTGCTATGACAAAGGTTGTGGTATAGAAATGTGAAATATATCTGTCCTTAAAGTATCTCAAAGTCTAGCATGGGAATTAGACAAATTATTAAGATAATTACCATATAGTATAAGTGTTCTCAGATGTACTTACAGAATACAAATAGGAACTCAGTCATAGCTGGGCAAGGAGGGTAAAGATCAAGAGATGTTTTCTAAGGAGATATAAAGAGGGAGTTGATTTTTAAAAAGTCTATAAAGGTTAGTCAAATGGATATTGAGGAAAAGGGCCTTCATTCCAGATAGTTGAAGGGATGGAGCAGGGACTGGATAAGAGAAAATATCTTGGAGAAACAGGAGGTGATCAGAGATACAGTTAAATTTCTAGATGAGGAACACTTAATAGCTTTTGTTTTCTCTGGAATGTGAGGTATTTCATGAGTATCTGTTGAAATCCAAGGCTCAGGGATATGTAAAGATTTGGAATAGCTACTGAGAAGTAATGGAGGAGCCTAAGAATAAGTATAAATGTTAGATCATGTTGAGAACCCAGTTAAAATTTAAGACTGAATTTTATGTCATTAGTTCATAAATATGTGCAATTTTCTCAAAGCTTAGTAACTCTGGTATTAGAGTAAAAAAAAAAAGCAGACGGTAAGCTGTTTTTCAATTTAAATCAGTATGTGGCAGAAAGATTAAGGGTATGAGAATTGAAGATACTAGGAAAAAGTCAAAGTAATGGTTCAAACTGTCTAGCTAAAGTGTTTCTTAATAAGAGCACTGTTTCTCAGATGTGCGGCATGGTTCTAAATGTTGTAGGATAATAAACATTCTACCTAGGACTGTGCTTACCTATTGTCAGAAGAATCCCTCTTCATTGTGACAACCCAAAACACCTGCATATTTCCATAACGGCTCCCCTCCCAGTTTGGAGAACCACTAGCTAGATTAGGAAAGACAGCCAGGATGAGGCATAATATTTTAGATTAGAGGGTACATTTTTATGATAGTGATGACAGATTTTTATATGATCTAGGTTAAGTATCTGTGGCAATGGAAAAAGGGAAGTTTGCTGCAGGCAAGAAGTTACCTTAGCGATAGCTAAAACTTTAAAAATAATACTTCATACTTTCCAAGTCTCCTATATAGTTTGGTGAAATGACAGATTCAGGCTATGTGATCAATAGCAATAGGAGATGTTCTGTGGATTTTCTAAAATTGTCAGTAACTGATGAAAATTGTATTATGCTGGCTATGGATGGGATCAGAAAGTTTGTGGACTCTTTTGCCTCCTTGTCTGCAGTGAAAGTTATATTCTTGTGTTTTAGGACAAGCAATATTCTAAGATGGGCATAACATTTATGATATAGATATAAATACTATTCAACTTTTCATAGCAAAGCAAGTTTATTTAAAAAGATTTAGACCTTAATACTGACTTGACTTTTAAAAGTTGTTTTCATATAATGCTTTAATTCTAGTTTACTTGAACATGTTTTCTGTATTTTATAGCATATCAAAACTGCTATAGTTGTAGAAAAGACAGAAAATAAGAACATTGAATTCCTAAACCAAAATTGTAGTAAGTACCTTTTGATACTTTTAGTCACTTTAAAAAATATATACTTATCTCTATACTTCCCTTTAACCCCACTGGCTTTTGTTGATTTGAAAAAGATTTATAAAGTGTTTGGCTTTGTGCAAGGAATTTTTGAGATTGCAAGGAATTATACTAATACAATCTCTATTCCCAAGAAGTTTGGGTCTGGGGGAGAGGAGGCATCCCAATGTGTGAACCTTCATAGAATAACTCCCATTTTACCCTGCCAAATGCAAGAAAAAATGAAAATATGATAATTTTTATTTTATTTAGATGAACTCCAGGATGTTGTATCTGATTCACAGGCAGTGGAAAAAATAGATAAACCTGTGTAAGTAGGAGAAAATCTATCAAATCATTTAAAGTATATTAATATTATTAGATATAAAAGATCTGAAGGAAAAGGACTTTATATTATAATGTAGTATTAGTTATAGCATTAATCATCTCTCAAATATTATGACAATGACATGGGAAATAGTCTATACACTTTTTTCCATGTCAACCAACATAACTCTTTTCAAGTTGAGAGACTTAAAACGAAAATTTTTTAAATAATAAAGTATGAATGTGAAGAAATTTAACTTAGTTTAGGTACATAGTAGAACATGTAAAATATGTAAGACGTATATTTAGGGTAGATACCAAAGTAGTAGCAAATGAGGGTGGGTGTGGGAGAAAAAAAAAACAAAGTAGTAGCAATGATGGAATCTTTCCTAATATTCTTTAATGTGATAAATTATATAATAAATTTTAATTTTTGTAATGACATGAAAATATTTGTATATTTTACTAACACATTGCTTTCAGTAAACATTGACTAAATTAACAATCAAGGTCTTAGAGTCATAGGCAAATGTTTTGTAATATATTAAGTAAATGAAATCATTTTCTAGATTACCTGGTGTTTTAGACAACATCTGTGGAAATAAAATGCACTCCAAATGGGCATGTTGGACACCTGTAACAAATATTGAACTGTGTAATAACCAAAGAGCAAGTACTTCATCAGAAGAGACATTTAATCAAGGTGAAACAGTTTTGTTTGAATGTAATAGTTTAGCAGAATGTTAAATTCCTCAAATGTCTAATAAGCATTTTTCATTTCAACAAATTTTACATGTTCATTAATTTAATAACTCATTTCTTCTCATTTTCCCACTAGATACCGTTATCAACAAAAAGCTTATTAAACAAAAAACATCCTCTTCAATATCCGATAATTCTGAAGAAACAAAGAAGGTGAAATATAAGAAAGAAATGGTGAACCATAATAAAATAAACAAAGCAGAAGCAGAAGTTTGCAAAAGAAACAGTCAACAAAATTATCTTAAATATTCTGAGGAGAAAAATACTGAAAATACCAAGCAGAATGATTGGCATATTGAATCTGAAACTACTTATAAATCAGTTCTCCTAAATAAGACAGTTGAAGAATCACTGATATATAGGAAGAAATATATATTGTCAAAAGATACGAATACTGCTATTTGTGATAACAGCTCTTCTCCAAGAAAAAATGTGAAAAGTCATAGAAAATCAGGGAAAGAATTGACTTCTGACCTGAATTCTTGGGATACGAAACAAAAAAAAGTGGTAAGCCTTCAGAGTGTTTTGATTTCTGCCTAACACAAAGTGAAAGAAGTTTGATTGCAGCAAATTTAACATATGTAATTCCTTGTTCTTCAGTTCAATGCCTAGACTCTGAGAGTGAGTTCCTCCTCCCACATCTCTCCCTGGTCTCAGCCCTGATAGAACAGTAGTAGGCACATAACACATAAATATGTATAGAAAGAATGAACCTTGCAGTTCCTACCTAGTCTATTTGGATTCCTCCCACTCTGTTGTTTTTAACATGCATATAGAACTATTTGTACCTCTCTAATTTTTACCTTTTTTATAAATGGTTATTTTATATTTTTTTCCTCTGTGACTGTAACCTGTTGCAGAGTAAGGACTATGTTTTATTCAGCATTTGTTTTCTTACATGGCCTAGCACAGCTTTACATACAGCATCTCAAACATTTCTTGGATGAATGCATTTAACCTTGATAAAGTTTGGCAAGAAAAGGGTATAAATATCTTGGAGGAGACTATCCTGCTATAACTTAATTATCCTTATTGGGACCCCCACTTTCTTCTTCAGATTAATCATCTCTGTAGAACATCTACATTTTTGGCTACTTGGCACTATACTTTTTTAGTGCCAAGAAAATTTTACTTTTGTAACAGTTATCATAATCTTTTCTTTTGTCATTGCTGTCATGATGTAGATTAAGAAAACAGTTTTAATTAGAATACAGTTCTACTGTTAATAATGCAATCTACTTTTTTTCCTCTTTCTAAAATCTAGGTTGCATAGGCTTTTATTTTTAATTTATCTTGTACAGTATTGTATCTGAGTAGTTAAATTTGTGTAAAATGTTCATACATTGGGGCATTTCAGTATTCAAATGATATTTAAGAGATAATTTCCGGTTATTGTATATAATTAGACATTATTTAATTTGTCTTTGCCAGTTTCCTTTTTATTTTTTAACCTGCAACTCACCTTTTATGCCTGATTAGGCTGTTTTCTTCTATAACCATATCCTTTTGGTTCCTTTTTTTCTTGGTTCCTTAGTATGTTGTTCTTTTCTCTTTCTAGTCTTGGCTGCTATTTAATTCCCTCAGTCCCAAAGGAAGTGAAGTTGTTTTTGTCCAAACGTAGGTCTGTTCTTCAATTTTAATTTTAAACTGTTTTCTATGGAGTTCAGAATCATTTCACAGAATTTCCTGAGCTAGTCATTGCTTTATGCTGGGAATACAGACACCTGGTCATCTCTTCTCATATGCACTCTGATTTTTTAAAAAATCAACTTCCTGTTTTTAGAAGTTCTCTTCAGTTGTTCATAGGGTCACTCCCTGTATCCTTATGTTTCCTAACAATTGTATACTCTTCTCTAAGGTGGTCATATGTCTGATACTGGTTTTCTATTTATTGGATCAGCCCAGAGAAATAGAACCTATCTAGTTCAATGGTACACATTTTCCAAGCTGGTTCCAATTATACTGGAAGTCCTGAAATCATACACTGTTTTAGAGGAGGTTTTTACTGAGCCAAGTAAACCCTGTCTTTACTTTGATAATCTCAAGAAAGGATAGTAAGTAATGCTACCTATTATATATAAAAACACATGGACTTAAAAATAGTGAAAATAGCAAATTTTATGCTGTGCATATTTTACTACAATTTAAAAAACCTATATCCTGACACCCAGAAAAAAAGAGTAAAATGAGGAGGCCTCATATCTTTAAGAGTATTGTTGGAGTTTTTTTAAACTAAATTATCTAAAATTATGCTGAGAATAATTCTTACTTCGTAGTCCTGTTTTTAAAAAATTAACAGACTTTATTTTTAGAGAAATTTCAGGTTTACAAAAATAAAATGAGTGGAAAGTACAGAGACTTCTCATATGCCTCCTTACCCTATTAACTTGCATTGTGTGGTGCACTTAGAATTGATGAGCTGTTACTGATATGTTATGATTTTTAAAAGTCCATAGTTTGCATTAGGGCTCATTCTGTGTACATTCTGTGTGTTTTGACAAATATGTGAAGTGACATATCTATTACAGCATTATACAGAATAATTTCACTGCCCTAAAATATCCCTGTGCTATTTATTCTTTTAAATAGGAATGCATTACCTCTATAGATTAAGTTGGAAAGAACTGATATCTTGACAATATTGAGCTTTCTATCCATATATGTAGAATGTTTCTCCATTTATTTAGATCTTTGATTTTTTTATCAGCGTTAATGTAGTTTTCCTCATGCATTGTTTCATTGATTTATACCATAGCTACATATTTCACTTTGGAGAGTGCTAGAAAAAATTATATTGTGTCTTTAACTTCAAATTCTGCTTGCTCATTGCTGGTTTATAAGAAAGTGATTGAATTTTCTATATTAACGTTGTATATTGCAACTTTGGTATAATTGCTTATTAGTTGCAGCCATATTTATTGTTGTTGTTTTGGGGATTTTCTACATAAGGTTATCTGTAAACAAAAACAGTTTTATTTCTTCCTTCCCAATCTGTATACCTATTATTTCCTTTCCTTGTCTTGTTTCATTAGCTAGGATTTCCCGGCTATCCTTGCTTTGTTTCTGATTTTAACAGGAAAAGATCTAGTTTTTCTCTATTAAGTGTAATGTTAGCTGTAATTGTTTTTGTAGATGTTCTGTATCAAGTTGAGGAAATTTCCCTTAGAGTATTTACCATGAATGAGTGTTGGATTTTGTCATGCTTTTTGTGCATTTATTGATGTGATGGATTATACATTAATTGATTTTCAGATATTGAATCAGCCTTGCATACCTGGAATACATTCCACTTGGTCATAGTGCATAATTCTTTTTATACATTGTTGGGTTCAATTTGATAATATTTTGTTGAGGATTTTTACATCTGTGTTTATGAGAGATATTGATATGTAAATTTTCTTTTTTGTAATGTCTTTGGTTTTGGTATTAAGGTAATTCTGGCCTCATAGAATGAGTTAGGAAGAATTTCTTCCACTTCCATTTTCTAGATGATTGAGGAGAATTGGTGTAATTTTTCTCAAATGTTTGATAGAATTCAGTGGTGAACCCATCTGGGCCCGGTATTTTGTTTTGGAAGGGTATTAAATACTGATTCAATTTTTAATAGATATAGGCCTATTCACATGATCTTTTTCTCCTTGCAAGAGTTTTGGTAGATTGTGTCTTTCAAGGAATTGGTCCATTTAATATTGCTTATCAAATTTATAGACATGAAGTTCATAATATTTCCTTATTATTTTAATGTCCATGTGATCAATAGTGATTACTCTTTCATTTCTGTTATTAGTAATTTCTTTTTTCTTTTATCTTTCTCAGAAATCTTAAATTTCTCTTTTTTTGTCTCTCCTTAGTTAACCTGGCTAAAATTTTATCAGTCTTTTCAAACAACTGGCTTATTTTTTCTTCAGTTTTTTATTCTCATGGGAAGAAACTTTAAAAAAATTTCTACAGAGCATTTTGCACAGTTCTATAAGTTAAAAGAATTACCCTGAGTTGTTTTAATGCCTAACAAAACCCAAACTTATTAAATATAGGCTGATGCAGAAGTAATTGTGGTTTTGCACATGAATTTTAAATCATTATAACTAGGCTCAAACACATTTTTATTAATCAAAATAGGAACCATTACAATCAACACATTTTTGCCAATGAGAAATAAGTTTGTTTATTACTGTAGCGTAAAAATCTGTGCTTCAGGACTTGATGAGCTCTTGGTAAAGCATTTTCTGCATCCTGCTGGTGTGAAAGCGTTTTCCCTGCAAAACGTTGAGATGCTTAAAGAAATGGTAGGCAGTTGGCGAGAGGTTAGGTGAACATAGCAAACGAGGCAAAACTGTAGCCCAATTCGTTCAACTTTTGAACATTGGTTGTACGGTCAGATGTTGTCTTGGAGAAGAATTGGGCTCTTTCTGTTGACCAAATGCTGGCTGCAGGTGTTGCAGTTTTCAGTGCATCTCATTAATTTGCTGACCATACTTCTCAGATGGAATGGTTTCGCCAGGATTCAGAAAGCTGTAGTGGATCAGACTGGCTGCAGACCAGCAAACAGTGACCATGACCTTTTTTTGGTGCAAGTTTGACTTTGGGAAGTGCTTTTGGAGCAGCTTCTAAATGCAGCCACTGAGTTGGTCATTGCCGGTTGTCATATAAAATCCACTTTTCTTCACACATCACAATCTGAAATGGTTTCAGACATCAAGAAATGGTTTGTTGTAGTTGCTTACTTACAATCACAGAAGGCAACACTTCAAAATAATGATCTTTTTTTTTTTTTTTTTTTACTTTCGGTCAGCTGAGGCACCCACTTACCGAGCTCTTCACCTTTCCCATTTGTTTCAAATGCCAAATGACCATAGACTGGTCAACCTTGAATTCTTTGGCAACTTCTCATGTAGCTTGTAAGGGGATCAGCTTCCATGATTGCTCTCAATTGGTCATTGTCGACTTCCAATGGCTGGCCACTGTGCACCTCATCTTCAGTCTCCTTTACAAAACTTATTGAACCACTACTGCACTGTACGTTCCTTAGCAGTTCCTGGGCCAAATGCATTGTTGTTACAAGTTGTCTCCGCTGCTTTATGACTCATTTTGAACTCAAATAAGAAAATCACTTGAATTTGCTTTTTGTCTAACATCATTTCCATAGTCTAAAATAAATATAAAATAAACAGCAAGTAATATGTCATTAGCAAAATAAAAGAACTGTGCATTAAAATGATGTAACATAACCACATTTATTTAAGAATGTATTCCAATATCAAACAGCAAATTTCAACAATGCTAAAACTACAATTACTTTTGCACTAACCTAATAATTTCTGACCCTTTTATTTTTCTTTATAGGTATAAATAGATCCAGATTTTTCTTAAATTATTTTTTCAGCCTTTATTTTCTTTTGAAGGTTGACTGATAGAGTTTTAAAGTAACTGATAAATTGTTTCAGAGAGAGAAGTCAAAAGGGAAAGGATTTACTGATGCAGCAGAATCCTTGATAAGCCAAATTAATGAGAGATATAAACCAAAAGATGACATAAAGTATACAAGAAAATTAAAGGAGTCTTTGATTGACAGGTATGTTTTTAAATTTTATAAATGTGTATTTTTTTGACAGATACAACTAAATTAGTTTACATAGCTTTAAAAAGGTTAGTTTTAAACATAGGTTCAAATAATGTAATTTTTCAGTGGAAAACACATGGTTATTTTATAAATAGCTGTTTTGAAATTTGTCATTCTAGTGTGTAGTTACATTTTATAAAGTATCAAAATGTATCAATACAACATACCATTTCAGAAATAAATCTTTAGGATATAGATATTGTAGAATAAAGTATTTATTAAATCTAGTAATGCATGAAACTAAATGTATTTAAATACATTGCTTAATGAAATATGAAATGTAAATAAGCTGAAATTAGTTATTTTTATAGTAAATATGTTCTTCAGTCTTTCTGAAGGTTAATTCTTATTATAAAATGTCCATTTATAGTCAGGTTAATTCAAGTTTAAATTAATTCTGGCCTTATATGCCATGAAAAAAATGACTTTAATGGAAGAACCATTCATTTTAAATTGGTACTTCCTGCTGCATTAATGTTTCAGTTTATAATGAACTATTATAGGTACTGTTTCCTATGAAGTTGCAAAAATATTGCTATCACATTTTAGTTAATTATAGCATATTAAATACAGATTTAGTAACCTAAATCTTATATAAGTTTTACCTTATATAAAATGGCTTTTATGAAAAATATTCTGATACTTAATTGCTTTTTAACAGTGGTTTTTCAAACAAATCTGATGTTCAACTCAGTAAGGTAGGTATTATTTATTTAACTTCACTAAACCTATAGTCAAACTTGATATTTGACTATAAACACAAATAGCATAGTAGTAAGGTAGAATTACATTTACTATTTTCAGAATATTGCTAAATGGATCATCATTGCTAGTGGCAAGAATTCCAAATAGCCCTCTAACCTTGTTTTTCAGCAAAAATCTGTCTTTTACACATATGAACCTAATAATTTTACATTCTGGTGCAGTTTTACATTTTGGTTCAGTGTTACCTTATTACCATGCTTTTGTTCTAGCTGATCCCATCTCTCCTGACAATTAGATACTTCTGAAGTCCCAGTTTTGTTAAAAACATTTACTATTCATCCAGGCTTAAAATAATATATTATTATCTTTCATTTTTTTCTTTACAATTAACTTTCTTTGTCCACTTAATATTTCAAGTTTTGAGGTTCAACCTCCATAAGTTCCTCCTGAACCTTCTCTCTCCTGTCTGTGCCAACTCCTATTAGCCTAGTTTCAATTCTAATTTCTAATCTCTGGATTGTATTAATAACAGTTGCCTTTATGTAATTCTCTTTGCTTCTAGAATTTCTCTGTGCTAATCCATTCATTGCATTTAATACCAGCTTTTGTTTTTTTTTTTTGTTTTTTCTTTCTAAAGCACACAGCTTCAATTATGTCATTCATTTGATGAGAAACCTTCTTTGGTCCCTCTTGCTTATTAAGACATAGACTGGCTCAGTAGGCCCTTTAGAAGATTGTCATTTCTTAATATTAGTTTTCTAGACATGTCTTGTTTAATTGAAGAATGACTTGAGGTTATCTGAACTGTCTTTTTATAAGTATTAGTTTATTTTCTTTTTATTTCTGCTTGGGAAAGAACTTCAAACTGAGTCAGTAGGCTCTTCCAGCTTCTTTTCTGATTTTTCAAAATATTCCTCTTTACAAGTCTTGCTTTGGAGTCTACTTTGTTTCTGAAAACTTTCCAAGGTGCCCAACCTCAAAAAACTCAATTGGCAAAAATTCCAAATCTACACAATAGGTTTTTTTTTTTGTTTTTTTTGGTACCATTTTTAAAAAAATATTTTATTCATTATTGCAGGGGTTCCTCCCTTACACACAATTACTTAGACTGTAACTATTTTTAATCATTTTTGTATGTTCTGTAACACCTTTGCTTACTTTTGCATATCCTTTTTAACAACTTTGCTCATTTTTACCTATTCTGTAACACCTAATACCCACTGTCACACCAAATATGGTGAACATATCTAAACACTGGTAAAAATCTATTGGAAAGGGTAAGTCAAATAAGTGATTACAGGGATGAGAGATAAACTTTTTGGAATAATGCAAACAATTCTCTATAAAATAGTCAAAAGAAATAATCAAATGGAAGATGAATCAAAAATTAAAATGAATATTTGAGGTTTTAATATTTCTGACTTTAATATTGTTAGTCTTTTAATTCTGATTAGTAACCAATTAGTGATACTGTTTGTGTATTTGATCATAAATTTCTTTAACATTATAATTATTTATAAAATTCTGCTTAACTTCTTTGTGATCTGTTTGAATATATTTTGAGCTATGTTATATTAATAATCTTACACACATTTTTTCCTAATAATACTAGTTAATTGGTACCTTTTGACTCTTTCACATGAGATTTTAAGTAAAGCTTAGCCTCTCCAAAATTTTTCTATATAAGAGTTTAAGGGAAATGAGAGTCTGAAACAAAGTAGAAATATGCTTGTTTTGTGATTCTGCATCACTAAAATTTATCTTGTGGAAAATTAGTAAAGATGTCGTTTATATACAACGGTGTCAGTAAAAAGATTATAAGGATTTTATATTTTATATTAGATTTATGATACTTTATTATGTTTTTAGTCATTATTTGTCTTTAATATTTTAAAAGTACAGGTGTTTAATATTATATATATTTAAAGTATATAACATGATATAGTGAAATGATTACTATAGTCAAATTAATATATCCATCATCTCACATAGTTAACCTTTTTTGTGTTTGTGGCAAGAGCACCTAAAATCTACTCTGTTAGCAAATATCCCAAAGTACAATATAATATTAATTTTAGACCTCATGTTCTACATTAGATCTCTAGACTTACACATCTTACATCCCACAACTTTGTGTCTTTTGACCTACATCTCCCTATTTCCTTCTTCCTTCCTTGCTCGGATAAACCACTGTTTTGTTCTCTGTTTCTATGGATTTTACTTTTTTTTTTTTTCCGCTTCCACATATGAGATCATGTGGTATTTTTCTTTCTGTATCTGGCTATTTCACTTAGCATAATGTTCTCTAGGTTCATCCATGTTGTGAAAAATGGCAGGATATCCTATTTTTAAGGCTGAATAATATCATCCATTGTATATATGTATATGCCATGATTCCCTTATCCGTCATCTGTTGACAAACACTTAGGTTGTTTCCATGTCTTGGTTACTGTGAATAATGCTGCAGTGAATATAGGAGTGCAGATATCTTTAGGAGATGGTGATTTCTTTTCTTTAGGGTATGTTTTTATTCAGTTTACATTAAGGAAAATGTTACAAATGCAAGGTTTATATGAGTGGAAGCACAACTGGAAAATAATGTAATTGTACATGTTATTTGTTTGCCACATACAGTAATATGTAGGTTTTAATGGCTTTATGTAAACATCTTTTGTATTTAGGAAAAGGTTCAGAAAAAAAGTTACAGAAAACTGAAGACTACTTTTGTTAATGTTACTTCTGAATGCCCATCGTAAGTAATTTTTCATCTTTTTCATATTTGAATAGACTAAATGCATTCATTTTACAATAGAGTTAATATTTCTCTTCATTTTCACAGGAATGATGTTTACAATTTTAGTTTGAATGGAGCTGATGAACCTGTTATAAAACTTGGAGTAAGCTAGAAATCATTGGTTATTTTATATTTAGTTACTAGTTATCTTATATTTACTATGCAATTACTAGAGTATATTTTTTGATGTACATTCTCTTGTATACTTTAAAATGTTTTAAATATGTAACAATTGGATATTTAAATTTTTTCAAATCTTTAGAAAATATGACAGAAACAAATAATTTAGGGGGTAGAAGGACTTAAAACTTCTATCAAGAAAATCACTTTTCTTAGTTATGCAACAAATTTAAAACAAATACTCCTTTTTAGTATAATTTATTTTATTAGCTTTCTTCTTAAGTAAAAATTTTATAGGAAACTTAATTTTATTGTCGAACCTTATTATTCTGTGAAACAAACTAGACTTTGTTTCTTTTTTGTTTACCTTATTTTGACATTAAGAATTCTTTTTTTTTAATGTTTATTCACAATATAGATCCAAGAATTTCAAGCCACAACTAGAGAAGCCTGCGTCGATAATTCAATAAAATTGTAGGTGTTTTTTTTTTTATAATTAGATAGGTCAGATTAAAATATACTTATCTTCATCTTTGTTTTTCTGTTAAATATCACTTCCCAGTCTTTCTGACAGTTTTTAACCTATGAGAAGAGTGAATAAAAATGCTACTGTCATGATTACTACCATTATGATTCTGTTACTTCAGAATTTACTTTTAACATTAATATGCAGGTTATCCACATTTTAAATATTAGTTGTGTATCTTAGATCATAAAGCTTAAAAGACTTAATAGTTCTTTAATGCAACCTCATAATTTTATAACTGAGGTCAGAGAGAGTAAGTGGCTTGGCTAATACTTCACTAATATAGCTAATTAGTGAAAGAGTTAAGGTTGAAACTTAGGTCTCATTGTCCAATGCATGCTAGCTTAAAACAAATAAGGGGTATTTTAAAATTAATACATATTTTTGTTTAAGGGTGAGTTTAAGGAATCATGATGAACTTGAACCTTCTCCCAAAACAAAAGATAAAAGAGTAAGTGGATAATATCTTTTATGTCAATTAAAAATAGCATTTCTTTTAATAAGTTTTTTAGGATAGATAGCTGTTCCTTATTTTTTTTAATTTTTTAAAATTTTTTTATTTCAGCATATTACAGGGGTACAAATGTTTAGGTGACATATATTGCCTTTGCCCCACTCAAGTCAGAGCTTCAAGCGTGTTCATCCCCCAGATGGTGTGCACTGCACCCGATAGGTGTGAATATACCCGTCCCCTCATCCCCACTCCCACCTGCCTGACACCCAATGAATGTTACTGTATGGGCACATAAGTGTTGATCAGTTAATACCAATTTGATGGTGAGTGCATGTGGTTCTTGTTTTTCTATTCTTGTGATACTTCACTTAGTAGTTTTTAATGTCAAATATTATCAAAGAACTGGAAAAGAGTAACATTTTGATTTTTTTATTCCTCTGAGATTATCCATGTTCCCATTATGAATTTTCTTATGTTTTTTGAGCTGTTTCTAACCATCTAAAAATAGAAGATATGACGACTTTAGTTATTTTCTTTGACAGTATTAGGTTATTTCTCTATGGAAATAAGCTGTTTTGATTTAAATTTTAATTAGGAACACCAACACCAAAATACATATCTCATTATCTGATCTGGATTTCTGAGTGACTTTCTTGGATAGATCCTTAATATCATTAGATTAGTATGTTAAAAAATGAGAAGTTTGTTTTCCTGGTTTTCTGGGCTTAACTTGCATGACATAGAATGAGATATATTTCTTCATCTATTTTAAAGATCTTTTTTCCCTAGATTATAACAAATCATAAAAAGAAAAATGTCTTTAGTGATACTGAAACAGAATACAGATGTGATGACAGCAAGACTGATATTAGCTGGCTAAGAGAATCGAAATCAAAACCACAGCTAATAGACTATAGCAGAAATAAAAATGTGAAGAAACATAAAAGTGGGAAATCAAGTAAGAAATTACTTTTAAGAGAAATGTTGCAAATGATTTTACCCTTTCAATTATATAAAATGCTTTATTGGTTGGTAAGTATGTGTTTGTAGACTCTTTTTAACTATATACCCTAATGGATAGGACAAAACATTACAATGGTTATGATTTTTGTTTTATTATTTAGGTAATATGGTTACATTCAAATTACTTTTCTTTTTTAATGGAACCTTTGGGACACAAAATATGATTTATCATAATCCTTGGCTCGTGACGATCTCACCATATGTCTACTTACAGCCCACTATTATTCAGTTATTTAGCTAATTAGTTATTGTGAATAGTGTACTAAATACTCTTGAGCCCAACACCCTTAAACAAAACAAAAGCTTGGACCTTAACACTAACCTATATCGATTTACATTTATTAATATATATGTTTTCATTTCTTAACATCCTATCTGCCTGCTGCACACAATACACATAACTTTTTAGGAATTTATATAGATGGAATATATCAAAAGAAAAACAATTTTCTTGCAGAATTTTTTTTTTTTTTTGCCTAAGTCTTTCAGACACACCCAGATTGTGGTCCTCCTTTCTCTTTGTGATAGTGAATCTCTTAAGGTAGTTGTATAAGACTTTGAGGTATAAGTTTTGTCTAAAGATAATCATTTTCATAGCTGAATATCAATTTCAATGTTTGATAAAACAAAGATTTTAATATATTCTGTTTTCAGAAGAGGACTTAAGATAAATGCTATGCTTTTCAATTAAAGGTATATTTATTTCAAGGGAATCAGCTTTTTTTATTTCAGAATAAAAATAACAGTAGTGACCTATGTGTGTTGGGGGGTGGGTGATAGTGGTAATGGTTTAAAGAGAAGTAAAAATAGAGAGATGGAAGTGAATTTTGCAATATGTTTAGAAATGAGGCTGAATTGTCAAAACAAGTGAGAGGTCAACCAGATACATAATAAAGAAAAAGCAGGATTTTCATATATAAAAGGGACGGAAGGATGAAAGAGCATCATATATTCAGGGAATGCCATGTTGGGGTAGCTGGAAGGGAACATAGATCATGTTTGTGGGAAAGTAGTGAAAACTGAGGTTGGATTTGGTCATAGAATCTGGACCTGGAAGCAGTTTATTACAATCCAAGGAGAAACTCAATAAGATTCACATGCCCTGAGGTGGTTTTACAGTCCCAGGGGTAAGATGTGCAAATAAAGACATTTGCATAATAGCATAAAGTAGAAGACTGGAGATCTTAGGGAGACATTAAAGGTTAGAATACTGTAATTAGTAAATACTTATAAAATTAAATTTCTGTGTGGATTATTTTGTTTGAATGGCTGAATGACAACAAGTTAATATATATGAGCTGACTTATTGCCAGTATTAGAGAACCTTTCTTCCAAAAAAGCTTTGCTTCCTTGGCTTGGATAATCTTATTTCTTAAGCTTCAAAGACTATTTAGAAAGATGACATTGTACTTGGAAGGCAAAAAAGGGAAGTGAGACTAAAGCGACTATGAATAATATGGATAAATCTTAGAAACATAACAATGTATAGAAAATAAAGCAAATAGAATATTATATAGGACGTGATATTTCATAAAGCTAATTGTTTAGAGGTACATATTAATGCCTGTGATACTTTTTTTTTTAAAGCAAGTGAATGAGAAATGCAGATCAGGATAGTGATTACGTTTTAGCAGAGGGTATAGGGAGGATGGTATAAGAGAATGTAAGTAGATTCAGCATTTTCATAATCTAGTTCTTACACTGAGTGGTCAATTCATGGGTGTTTATAACTTATGTTACATGTTCTCTTATATGTTTAAAAAGTTTTGTTATATAAAATAAAGGAGAATGGAAATTGGCAATTCATATCATACCAAAAAGTAAAAGTAACCAATTATTGAAATTGAAATTTTTGAATGAATTTAAAGATCTTTTTTTTTTTAATCAGTGGTGTGGTACAGTCAAACTACAAAATTCTGGAGAAGGGAAAGCTTACAAAGCAGCTTTTTGTGAGGCCAAATTCTTTAGAGGAAGATCTGAGAATATTAGGTTAGGGGAGGGGCTTTTAGCCACATGGAAGGAGGTTCATTTAATGCTAACAAAAGTACTTTTATTTTTTTTAAAAAAAGATGTACTTATTGTTTTTTAATTTATATATGCAGAAATGTTCTAATAAATTTAATACCAATTCTTACCTATTTGAAAAGTATAACCCTATTTTTTTAAAATTGCAGGACCATCTTTGGAAAAGAGGCAGCCAAGATCTAAAATGGTAAACTAAGAAGTTGTGTTCAAACATCCTTTAAAATTATTTGTCATATAAAAATAATTTATTTCCTAATTTTATCCTTGTTATCAGTTTTCCATAATTATTCCTGCCTTTGCACACTTCTCCTGTCTTCTGTTTTTTTAATCCCATTGGTCATGTTTTAAGTCTTCTTTATTCTGTGGTTTTTAAGTATTTTTGATCTTTTACTTTAGCTAAATAATATATATCAGGCCTCTCAGGGATTTAATGGTAGGGTGGTAAAGAAGATAGTTGTAGGCCAGGCATGGTGGCTCATGCCTATAATCCTAGCACTCTGGGAGGCTGAGGCGGGTGGATTGCTCGAGGTCAGGAGTTCGAAACCAGCTCTGAGCAAGAGCGAGACCTTGTCTCTACTATAAATAGAAAGAAATTAATTGGTCAACTAATATATATAGAAAAAAATTAGCCGGGCATGGTGGTGCATGCCTCTGTAGTCCCAGCTACTCGGGAGGCTGAGGCAGGAAGATCGCTTGAGCCCAGGAGTTTGAGGTTGCTGTGAGCTAGGCTGATGCCACGGCACTCACTCTAGCCTGGGCAGCAAAGTGAGACTCTGTCTCAAAAAAAAAAAGAAGAAGAAGAAGATAGTTGTAATGAGAAGATAAAATCCAGTTATTTAAAAAAAAAAAAAAAAAAAAGAAGAAGAAGAAGATAGTTGTAATGAGAAGATAAAATCCAGTTATTTAAAAAATATTAATCAGGAATTTTTTTATCCTACAAATATTTTATATGTCTTGTCACAGAGCCAATCTTACAGCAAACAGCTTATACCTCAAATACTGATCTAACAATATTTAGGCATTTTTCTCCCAAAGACACCCACTAAAAACATCACCAAAAAGGTTGACAACACAGTTCCAGATGCGAGAACTAGACTTCCACGAAGAGCAGCAAAAACCAAAAAAAATTATAAAGATCTCTCAAATTCAGAATCGGAGAGTGAACAAGATTTTTCACATTCATTTAAAGAGAAATTGGTAGTAAAGGTAAATAGATAAAATTCAGATTAATTTTTTCTAAAAGCATCTAAAAATACTAAATATGTTTTTGTAAAAATGTCATATTTGTTGGGGATGAGTGTTTACTTAATGAATGCAATGTGCTAGAAGCTCTAACGCGGGGGGGGGGAAAGGGGTGGCAAGGGCAATATGTGTAACCTTAATAATATTTGTAACCCCATAATATGATGAAATAAAAAAGAGGACAAAAACGATTTGGCCTCTATATGTGAAAACGTATATAAATCTAAAAATTGATCCTTAAGAATTATAATACTACATTTTGTAATAAGTTGGCTTTAGTGTTATAGAACAGATATCTGACTCCAATAAAATTATAACTTTAAGATAGTATCTTTGAAAGAGAAATACTTGATCTTTTCAAAATTATATTTCAATAGCCTGTTGAGATTCTCTCTCTTGAATGAAAACAAAAATTTTGGTGTCTGAGGTTCTTCCCATACCCTGCCTCACTTGTGCCTATCCCTGACTTATGTCGCATAATGTTCAGACACATTGCCAGCCACCTGTGTTGTAGCCTTAATGGCTTGTTAAGCTTTTTTAAACAAGAAAATAGTACTTACAAAGTGCTTAATGTACCAGCTGTTATATTTTAAACACTTTATATATTTAACTTCTTAAGATCTCATAAGTACTATAGGTAATTACCATAGGCTATTACTGTCATCCTGTCTTAAAAATGAGAAAATTGAGGCTCAGAGAAAAAGAACTTGTCCAAGTTTATACAGCTAGGAAGCAGTAGAACTAGGATTTGAACCTAGAGAGTCTTGCACTGAAGGTAGGTTTCTGATCACTATGCTATGCTGGTTTTAATTCATCTTCCTTTGTTTGTAACCCTGTTATCTCTTACCTAGAAGACTTTAAGGACTTGATAACTTATCTCCACATTTTCTAGCACTTCGTTCTTTAATTTACCATACATATAGTCAGATAAGTCTTCCCCAAACCACCTCTCATCCCATCCCTCTTCAAAATAACAACCCTGAAAATATCTCCTTTGTCAGACATTAAAAGCATCAAAATATTTTCCATGTTTATTTCCACTCTTCCCCCTGAGAATTACAATAGTCAAAAAGTATAACTTGTGACTCCCAAATAGGTCTTGTGTTTCTCAACTCCCTTTGTTCTTGTCAACAGTCTTCCTTATTCCCAATATGCCTTCCCCTCACTACCTTCTTTCACAGACTCTCAGTATCTTGAGTGTCATGAAATCTAGGAATTCTTCCTAGTTGCTCTAAACTGGCTATAATCTTCTTCGAACCCTTGTATCATTTTATTTGTATCTCTTACAGTATTTATTATAGTCTTATTAGATTTTCATGTGAATTTGTCTTGCACCATCTAGTATATTAGAAAGTCTTTCACTGCTCATATCTAGTCCTTGTTATGCCTGTATGTAATAATATATTTAATAAATATTTGAATATAATTTAATTAGATTGTTGTATGTGTCCAAGTATAAATACTTGTATTTGAGTATAATTTGAAGGTTGTTAATACATTTAGGAGGAGAATATCCATTCCAGAACCAAAACCATAAAGCTTCCAAGAAAAAACCAGAAAGTCATCTCAGCTAAAACACAAAAAGAACTACCAAAAGAATGGGAAAACTCATCTCTAGTAAAAGATACTATGCAAGATAATTGCCTTGACTTATCTCCTCTATCTGGAAGTCCATCATCTATAGAAGTAATGAGATGTCAGTATCATTTCATTTTTCCTTTACTTGAATATTCAATGCTTTCCTACTATGTGAAAATACAATTTGAAGACTAATCATGAGGGGTGAATTTAAGATTATAGGTAGCTGATTAATTAACGTTAGTAACTTGGTTTTTGCTAACTTGGGAACAATGTTACTTAGGATACTGAAGTTTTTCATGTTAGTTACAGATCAAATACTTTAATATGGAAAATATTTAATCTGTATTCACAAATTATAATGTGAAAGCTCAAATGCTTAATTTTAATATGTGCTTTTAGTTCAAAGTATATTTAATAACAAGATTTATGGGGATTTCTATTTTTTCCTATTGACATTTCATTGACAAAGTCCAAAGAATAGCATGATTCTGAAACAATTGAGATTTTGCTTTCAATTTAAAACAATTGGTAAGGAAAAATTCATATTCTTTGGAGCTCTGGCATGTGTATAGCATTCTAGTATAGAAATCATAAGAGTAAGTTTGTACTCTTTGTATCATTTTCAGTTCCTTATAAGGATATTTTAAAACATTTCTAAATGTTAATTCAGTTAAAATTAAAGATTTAAATCAGTTAATCCACTTCCTCTAAAATAGGTATTGTGTTCTCTTAGTTTCATAATGCTCAGGACCACTGTCACTTCAGATAAGCACATACTCTCAAGACAGATGTACATGCCCTGATTTGTTCTGAAAACTGAGTTCATTTTATATTAATGTTAAGACTTATGTCAGCAATGAATTTCCTGTTTTTAAAATAATGGATTTAGACCAGATGATTTCCCAAGCCTTTTCCAGTCATTAAATTCTGTGACTTTAATATATAACACTATTGGCTATGATGTAAAAATATTCAAGATAATACTTAAGTTGATCACTGTATTTTAGGTCATACTGTAGATATTTTTGGTTGAAATGTTTTGAAAGTTCTTATGGCTACAAATACATTTTAAATTCAGCCATTATTTTTCAAAGCCATATTTTAAACATAATTTGGTCTTAATTTATTGAAAGTTTTTCCTTTTCAAATACAGCTAAGATTTGAGGATTTGATAGCATGATTAAATTCTAAGAATATAATGATTTATTTCTAAAGCAGATATCAGTGATAACACCTGTCACCTGTTTTTTTTGTTTTGTTTTGTTTTGTTTTGTGTGTGTGTGTGTGTGTCGGGGTACAATGTAGGTAAAGAGAAAATAACAGAAAAGGATTTTACTCAGGAGTATGACTGTACGACAAAATCTATATCACCTTATCTAAAAACTTCATCACCTGAATCCTTAAACAGTAACAGTGGAGTTGGAGGTCCAATAAAGTCACCCAAAAACAATGATAAAAACTTACTATGTGCCAGTGAACATTGCTCACTAATTTCACAACCACTCGTTTTGGTAAGAATGTATATATTTTTTTCCTTCATCAGTTATATCTGAAGGTGGTAAATCGTTTCTCTATAATCTTAAATATACATTGCTTGTCTACTTAAGATTTGGCGTTTGACCTAGAAATTGGGGGGGCAAGGACCTAATGACAGGTAAGATACAGTTCCCACCTGCAGTGAACTTAATAGACTTATATGTAGCTGTACTGGATGAAGAATATGGTAGCATGAATATAGTAGTCCTCCCCTTATCTGTGGTCACTTTCCAAGGTTTCAGTTACCCACAGTTAACTGTAGTCTGGGAATATTACGTGGAAAATTCCAGAAATAAACTTCGTAAGTTTTAGATTGCATGCTATTGAAAGGTGACATGAAATCTCATGCCATCAGCTCCATTCCACTTGGGACACGAATCATCTTTGTCCACTGTATCCATGCTGTAGATGCTACCTGCCTGTTAGTTACATAGCAGCTGTCTCTGTTGTCAGACTGTCAAGGTATATCACAGTGCTTGTGTTTAAGTCATCCTTACTTTACTCAATAAGGGGCCTAACGTGAAAGAGTAGTGATGCTGGCAATTTGGATATGCCAGAGAGAAGCTATAAAGTGCTTCCTGTAAGTGAAAAGTTGGAAGTTCTCTACTTAATAAAGAAAAAAAATGGTATGCTGAGGTTGCTAAGATGTATGGTAAGAATGAATCTTCTATCTATGAAATTGTGAAGAAGGAAAACAATTTATGCATAGTGAATATAGGGTTTGGTACTGTCTTGGTTTCGGGGGGCCTACTGTATTTTATTAAGAAATGGTACATACAACTCCATATATGAAAGGAATGAAGAATTTTTTAAATATCATATTTAATTTTTATACTCATACAATTTATGTTAGTTTTGAACTTCCTTATAAAAATATAAAACAAATACAATAATTACACTGTTTTCAGCCAATTTCCTGTCAATTTACCTTATCAACTTATAAGAAGTAGATGACTTATTAAACTTATTAAAAGTAGGTGACTTTGAATTATGGTGAAATCTAAAAAAGTACCTGTGTTGTAGGATTAAGTCTATTCAAATCTAGAAAACATGTAGTTTTGATGTTTAGACAAATTTAGGTAGTACCTCTTTGGAAGTGATCATTCCTATCACAGAACCCCTATTTGCACTCTGTATGGTAGTCCCCCCCTTATCCTTGAGGGATATGTTCCAAGACCCCCAGTGGAAGTCTAAAACCAAAGATATTACTGAAATATCTATGTACAGGGTATCCCCCAAATCGCCATACATAGGGAAAATGGGAAATTGTAGCTAAATGTACCTTTATTTACAAAATAATCATTATAAAATATTATAACATTTTTCCTTTGGAGACTTTTGGGACAACCTGTACTATGATTTTTTTCCCTATACGTATACATACATACATATATCTGTGATAAAGTTTAATTTATAAATTAGGCACAGTTAAGAGATAAACAACAATAAAACAGAACGACTATAACAATATACTTATAACATCACTACTCTTGCTCTTTGGGGCCATTATTAAGTAAAATAAGGGCTACTTGAACACAAGCACTGTGATACCTCAACAGTCAATCTGATCAAGAAGGCTACTAAGTGAGGAACAGGCAAGTAACATACACAGTGTGGATATGCCGGACAAAGGGAGGATTCATATCTGGGTTGAACAGAGTGGGATAGTGAGGGATTTCATCATACTAAGAATGGCACACAATTTAAAACTTAAGGATTGTTAATTTCTGGAATTTTTTATTTAGTATTTTTGGGCTGTGGTCAACTGTGGGTAACTGAAACCTTGGAAAGTGAAACTGCAAATAAGTGGGGGACTACTATATGTCAAACAGATAAAAATGGAACTATATTGTTTAAAGCAGAAACAGGAGGTCTGAACCCTAGCCTGTCTAGCCTTCCTCCCAAATAACCCTCCCAGCAGTACCTTTGTAAGACTTGAATTTCTACAGACCACAGTTTGAAAACCAGTTTCACACTAGACTGTCATCCTTTGGTCCCTTGTCAATATCATTGGCCCTCTATATCTGTGGGTTCTGAATACATGGATTCAACCATTTGTGGGCCAAAAATATATTTTTAAAAAACTGTCTATATTGAAAATGTACAGACTTTTTTCTTATTCCCTAAACAATGTAGTATAGCAACTATTTGAAAAGTATTTACATTGTATTAGGTATTACAAGTAATCTAGAAATTTAGGAGGATGTGCAGAGGTTATATGCAAATACATCATTATATCAGGGACTTAGGCACTCACTGAATTTGTTGTTCAGTGAAGGGCCTAGAACCAAACCAAACCCCTAGGGATACTGAGGGATGACCGTATGTATTGCTATGTTACCTTTAGTTTCTCTGTATCCTTAATGCCTTCAGTATCCCACTTAGCTAATCTCCAAACCAAGGTAATCCCCACCCACCTTCTTTGATGCTACTGTGATAGATGAAATTTTAATTTAATAATCACATATTTATCAGCTGGCCACTCACCCATGAGGCATTTTTTTCCCATTTACTATTTCTCCCTCTTAATAAAAAGTTAAAAATTTACTTCGTAAAGTAGTTGGACCAGCTTACACTCTCAACAGTGCTATGTAATAGTGTTCATTTATCCACAGTTTTAACTAACTGGGTGTTATGTTTTTGTTTTTGCCTCTGGTTAAGTGTAAAGTTCTATATTAAATTTGCATTTTCCTGACTAACTCCATTTTGTGAATTGCCTTTTGTTTTCTCATTTTTAAATAGCATTTTTTTATTATAAATATGTATGAGTTCTTAATATATTCTGGTTATTCTTTGGTTGTGTACAATACAAACATTTTTTCTAATATGTATCTTGTCCTTTCATTTAGTTAATTCCAAAACTTCCATGTGACAAAAGATATGATATGATAAAATTTACCAATCATTTGGATTATTCAAGAAATGCTTCCCTAAGCTATAAAAATATTTTCCCTTCATGTAAAAATGTTAGTTTTGATCTTTAGGTTTTCAGTCTCGCTGGGCTTTTTTTTTTTTTTTGCATATGTATAGTGAATTAGTGCAACATCATGAGTAGTCATAACCTTGGTGTACCACATGGGTCTGGGTATTAGGCACTATTCCATTTTACTGTTTGTCTCTGAGCTAATACCACATTGCTTCAATTAATGTAGTATTATACTTTCAGGATGTTTTGCATACCCCTATTCCTCAAAATTCTTTTGGCCCTTTACTCATCCATATAAATTTTGGCATTAGTTTATCTGAGGAGGAATTACCATTTCTCAATATTAATATTGATCTTTCTCATTTACATATTTCTCTACCTTTTGGTCTTATTTCCTATAAAGTTGTGCCAAATCCTCCACAAAAGAAATTATGCTTCTTGTTAGATTTACCTGCTAAGTATGGTACTGGTTTTTTATTTGCTCTACATAAAAAAAAAAAAAAAAACACCAAAATACCTTTTTAAAGATAACACTTTGAGATTTTTAATTTTTATTTAGAAAACTATCACCCAGCAGCTTTGCTGAATTCTATCATAATTAACTGTCATTCATGATAATTGGAACAGAAAATTCAAAAATTCTTCTGTTCTTGTTAAGGTGACTTCAACTTCTGGAGCATAGAAGTTGCACTAGCAGGCATCTTTATCCAGAGTTTTTGGTAGCTACTTGACCTTAAATTAATGTTCTGCTTGCAAAGGGCCTTTTATTCCTTTTAATTATAAATGGCTGCTGAATTTTAACAGTGAATTATTCCCTAAAAATTTAAATAGTTTTGGCTTACTGTTCCTTATTTTGTTCAACTGTTTAAATTTTTTTAAAAAATTTAATAAAATTGGCTTTAAATAATTTTCTAACTTCCTTTGGGTTTCTGTATGTTCTGTTAATTCATAGCCCAGCCATACTCCAACTAAGAATAATACTGTTGTGAACAGAAAAAATATAAATTCTTTGGTACTTACACAAGAAGCACAAAATTCTAACAGCTATTCAGATGTAAGCAGTTACAGTTCAGAAAAACGGTTTCTGGAAGTTGAATCTCCAAATATCAATGAAAATCATATACAAAGCAAAAGAAAGGTAAGTATGATTACTGTAACTTTCAAATATTCTTTCAACTTAAGATGGTTTATAATTTGGTTCTTCTGGTTTCATGAATATATAGGAATTTGGTTGAGCTTCTTGGCACTATAAAAGTCTATCCGTCTGACAAATATATTTTAATAACCTGTTAAATATATTATAGAAGATCACAACAGAATTTTACAACTTGGAGTAGGTTGCGATTTGAGCTAGCCTAAGTGGATGGATATATACAGATTAAGTGAAGAGAGAACTATAACTTACTAAGAAAAAAAAAAATCCCTGTGTATCCAAATAGAACATAAGGTTAGATGTAAAAAATGTAGCTTGAAAGAAGAATTTAGTTTTCTGCAGCTCCCTATTTCAAGAAATTAAAATCCTAATGAAGAATTGAAATTTAGGAATAGTCAAAAAAAAGTGAAACTAAAGAATTTTTTTAAATTTTTATTTCAGAATATTACAGGAGTATATGAACATTTGGTTACATAAATTGCTTTTGTACTATATGAGTCAAAGTTATAACTATGCCTATCACCCAGGTAGTGTGCACTGTACCCATTAGGTGTGAATTTCCCCATCCCTTCCTTCCTCTTCCCACCCCCTTGATTTCTGATGTGATATTTCTATATGTGGAGATAAGTGTTGAATGATTAGTTCTAATTTACTGGTCAGTACATGTGGTTTGTTTTTCCATTCTTGTGGGACTTCACTTAGAAGAATGGTCTCCAGTTTCATCCAGGTTAACATAGGAGGTATTGAACCATTTTTTTAATATTGAGGTCAACATGGAATCTAGATTAATAATACATTAGTATTAGAGATGAAAAGGACAAAACAATCTGAAAAAAAGAATTGATAGCAATTGAAATTTACTGGCCTTAGGATATGAGAACGATGGTCAAAGGTGAATCCAAAAATACTTACAGTATTTCTTTTCTAATATATATTTTAGGAAAGCCATTCACCATCTCCATTATCCATGTGTAGTGAAAGAAGAGAGAATACATGGTTTGACATGCCCCCCTGTAACACTACTCATGTATCAGGTTTGAAGCCATAGCTTTGCTTTTTAAAGTTACTAGTTACTGAAATACTATGACATTTCATTTAAAGGAATTATGTATTGTAAGTCATACTATTATTTAATGTCAAAAAAAAATTAAACTAGGTAGAATTTAAGGCACAATTGCCTATAACGTTGCAAACCATGGAAAACAGTTTTTAAAATAAAAGCAAGAAAATATTAGGTATTTTACTCAAAATTGTAGCACTGCTAATTTTCTGTAACTGTCTTAAGGCCTCACTCGACATCTTAGTTGCAAACGAAGGTATGTAGAAGATAATCTAAGTAATTCTGATGAAGTAGAAATGGAAGAGAAAGAAGAAAAGAGAGCAAACTTTCTTCCCCCCAAAATGTGTAAGACTGAAGATGCAGATCATCACACATACAAAAGTAGGTAGATCAAAAGGCTGCGTCAAAAGGCAATTATTTGGAAGGTAGCATCTTAGATTTTGAATGACTCCATCCACAAAACAGAATTCTTTGTAAAGACAACTTCAGATAAAGCATCATCTGTTTGGGACTTATCAGAAAGTTCACTTTATATGAATAATGTTGTAGTAAGGGTCTTCTGTATTTGTAGATCTCCCCTATCATTCTGTCACTTATTACCACATTTAAGTTTTACTAAGAGTATAAATTTACTGATGTGTTATCATGTCACTAAATACTTGTGTTAATAACATAGTAGTTGATAGCAGTGAAATCCAAATATGCTTGTTTAAAGTTGTCATTTCTGCCTTAATAGATATGCTAAAAGTTTTTTATAAACAGAATAATTTAATTTTTAAATTAAAACAGGTCTGCTGTTAATTTCATGATCCTTAGATTACACATAGAATCTGAAAATAAGATAGATTTTGGTTTTCAGCCTAATAAGGCTAAATTTGTAATATTGCATATTTTAACTATAGCTGATTATCTTCATTTTTTAGCATCTGAAAGTATATCTCCATTATCAACAAATGACTTTTCTATTCCTGGGGAGAACTGGGACAGTGAATTTTCAGGTGTAGGGATGATTTGTGAGAAGCTCAATTCAGAATGTAGGAAGAAGATTCATGTGAGTTATTCTTTAAATTATGATTTATACCCAATAATAATATGCCACAGTTTCTACTAGAGTATTGGATTGTTTGATCCTTTGGCAATTAAAACACCCATTCATGAATCCAACTTTCCTCATATGTGAAAGATTGGAATAATTAAGTAAATAACATTATCTCATGAGCAGTTTGTCTTCTAAAATCTGTACATTATCCATTATTCCTTCTTTTGTCATTAGTTCTCTTTTGTCTTTCATTTTCTTTTCATGCCTCATCGTTTTTTAGACATTTTCTTATCTTACAGAGGTCACCATTAGTGAGAGTAGTGTAATACATTAATAGTCTAAAGGATGAGCAACTGCAGTCAGTGAAATCCTGTATCACTTTGTTCTGCTAATAGTACTGTACTTACGGATTCTTAGTTTGAAGCTCCAATGAGATGATGAATGCAAAAATGCTTTTTAAAACAATCTTTAGTTATTAGTAATATATTTTTTCTACCTAACTCTTTCTTGTGTATTTGGAAGTTATTTTATGCTTTTTTGAATAAAAGATATTTTTCAGCACAGGTTATTAGCCCCATTTCTTGCTTGCCTTTCTCTAATTCAGGAGTAAAATCTGAAACTATTTAAAGTTCTGTATGTTTACTTTGATTTTATTTGCCTAAGGTCAAACTAATCTAAATAGAGAAGCCCTGATTTATATTTTCTGTTATGTACCTGTGGCTAGATGTGAATATGTATTTGTAAAAATAATTCTGAGTGTGACTTTTATTTTGTGTGTGTTTTTTTTTTTGGAGACAGAGTCTCGCTTTGTTGCCCTGGCTAGAGTGAGTGCCATGGCGTCAGCCTAGCTCACAGCAACCTCAATCTCCTGGGCTCAAGCAATCCTGCTGCCTCAGCCTCCCAAGTAGCTGGGACTACAGGCATGCGCCACCATGCCCGGCTAATTTTTTTTTGTGTGTGTATATATATATACATACATACATATATATATATGTATATATATATTAGTTGGCCAATTAATTTCTTTCTATTTATAGTAGAGATGGGGTCTCGCTCTTGCTCGGGCTGGTTTCGAACTCCTGACCTCAAGCAATCCGCCCACCTCGGCCTCCCAGAGTGCTAGAATTACAGGCGTGAGCCACCACGCCCGGCCTATTTTGTGTTTTTAAAGAGAATTTATAATCATTAGCATTTTTGTAAATACTATAGAATGTGGTAGTTTTTTGAAAACAATTAACAATTACTAATGGGATTAGACACTGCTCTCACTTAACTTATTAACACTTCAGGATTTTTTTTGGAGACAGGGTCTTGCTCTGTTGCCTTGGCTAGATTGCAATGGTATCATCCACTGCAACCTCCAACTCCTGGGCTCAAGCAATCCTCCTGCCTTAGCCTCTCCTGAGTAGCTGGGACTACAGGCATATAATACCACACCCAGCTAATTTTTCTGTTTTTTGTAGAGACAGGATCTTGCTATGTTGCTCAGGCTGATCTCGAACTCTTGGCCTCAAGCGATCCTACCACCTCAACCTCCCAAAGTGCTAGGATTACAGGTGTGAGCCACTGCGCCCGGCTAACACTTCAGTTTAACTGAGTTTTAAAGTTTTCACTTTTCCAAGTTCTCCTTAGTCATTTATATTTCATGGAAAAGGCTTTTCTCTTAACCTAATTTTGTCTAGGTTACTATTTGGTAAAGATATTTTAAGTTAAAAACAAGTATTTTTCAGATCCGACATAAGATGATGGATTATTTTACTAAGCAGTCTTGGAAAACAGCCCAACAACATCTAAATACAATGAAACGTCAAATTCAGGAGTATAGGTTTGTAATAAAAAGTTGTTTTGAAAACTTCTGAATGCTATATATTCTGAATGCTATATTTTAAAAATCTCCTTTTGTTTCTTTAATAGGATTAAAAAACTTGATAAATTCCAATTCATCATCATAGAAGAGCTGGAGAACTTTGAAAAAGATTCACAGTCTTTAAAAGATTTGGAAAAGGAATTTGTGGTTTGTACTTTAAAAAGTTTAAAAATTTTTAAATTCTTAAAAGAGGTACTCTTAGAAAAATTAATTACATTCTGCTTTGAAAGCACATTCTTAAAGCTTTCTGTTCTTTAGAACATTAAACACACTTAAATTTATGATGAATATCTTTGATAATAAGGGAGAAATCCTGAAAGATTTTACTTTCATTTTTTTTAATCTGAAAAAGAGTACATGACATTTGGAATATTCTTAGCATATAGCCAAATTGTTTAATTGGTTTTTGTATCTTAAAATTTAGGATTTTTGGGAAAAGATATTTCAGAAGTTTAAGGCATATCAAAAAAGTGAACAACAGAGGTTAGTATGAGATTCTTTGACTAGAACTTATAAAATTTGATTTTTAAGTTCATATTTGAAAAATTAAAATGATATATACTATAGCAATTTCATTTGAATTCATAATAAAGGGTAACTTTCATTATTTCACTTGTTAGACTTCATCTTTTGAAAACTTCATTGGATAAAAATGTCTTCTGTAATGCTGATTATGAAGAAACCATTTTTACAGCTGAGGTATAAATTTCATGGTTTTTATATATAATCTTTTTAAATATTTGTTAGTCTAACTTTGCTGTGAAAAATCAATGATAAATTTCATGGGGGAAATATATTTACAGATGTGTACGATGAAAGAAAACATGAAAATCCTTCAAGACAAGCTTCTTAAGGAAATGGTAAATCAGCTAATCTAGTTTTTCTTCTTTTTGGTTAGGAGAAGGCAGTTTTAGCTCAGTTACTTCTAGTTCTTTAAATAATGGGGACATATTTATAGTATGGTAATAAGGTAATTTAAATAATGAAGCCCTCCTAAAGAAAATCAAGTTGTGTATTGAGAAATTAGCTGAAAGAATTTTTTGTACTGTTTCTAAACACTGTGAACTACAGCAAAATCTGTCCTGCCTTCTGAAGGAGTAGTATATGGTATGACAGATCTGCCCAGAAATGCTGTGAACGTGGAGGCTGCTGTCCACTTAGGACGAGAAGACTTCATTTACTTAGATTTGGGGGATAAAAATGATTTGACTTCCCAAAGCCTAGTGACGCAGCTGCATTCTAAAGAAAAGTGACTGGGAGAGACTAAAGGCACTGCTCTAAGGATGGAAGGCATTTTTTAGTGCACTGGTCTTTTAGATACAGGGTATATTAATGTACTTAACAAAGTTTTAATAGAAACTTGATATGCTAACATAGATAGTAGGGGATCAGGAGGTTGTGGCTAACCTCGAAGCTAATAAGAAGCTGCCTAACGAGGTTGCTTCTTGTGAAATTGTTTCTAAACTATTTTATTGTACTTCATTAACCACTTCGGTACGTTGCTCACAGGCCATGAAACCTTTCGACAGCAGCCATCATAGTCCGCACGATAGTTTATGCTGTACATTGACGACGAATCCGTTTTCCTCTTGTGTGATGAGGAAAGCTTTTAAAGCACTGAAAGCTTGTTTTACAGGAGTTTGTCACGTATATCAGAATAGGTAACATATACATGTATGTTTTCATTACATTTTTTTAAATGTTCACAATTTATTCTGATAAATTAGAAAGTCAAGTTTTGTTATTAACGCTAAAGTCGATGCTCGGCTGTGCACATTCATCTGTGGCTATCAACGATGAGTCAACGCTTGTACCGAAGTGGTTAAATTTCATGATTTGGGGATTAAATAGATCTCTCTAATCATTTGAATTATACTAATCACAGAATTTTATAGATATCTAAGTATAGACTCTGGGGGATTAGATAAAATGAGCACTGATTCATGGTATCTTTATGAAAGAGGTTAAAATTAACAGTTTGATTTTTTTCTATTCTGTTGGATGGTTTTACAGTGATAATGTGAAATCTAAGCATGACTTTTTTTTCTTGGTCACAGCAAGAGGAGGAGCTTCTTAATGTACGCAGAGGACTGATGATTATTCATGGCTCATGAAACGAAATGTAATATGTGAAATACAGTTATCAACATATTTCTAATTTTTTGTATATAACAGAAATAGAATAGTCCTATGAAGAGAAAAATACACTGTCTTCTACTGGGGATGAGAAAGAACCGCTATAATACTACTTTTATCTTGGAGAGAGAAAGTAATATTTGCCTAATGTAATTTACTGTTCGGTTCATAAGACTGAGTTAACTGTACTAACAAACTAATACATATTTAAATGATTTAAATAGTTATTAAATAAACTTTGATAATAGAACAGTTATTACAAGTAATAAGAATTTGCCACACTTAAAGGGGAGGAAATCCCTGATTTAAATCTTTACCTGAGTGGGAGATGGGTACTTGAAGCACACTGTGGAGATATTTACTCAGTTATAGCTCCACTGTATTAGGAGGCACTAAATGACCTAAAATAGCTACTTTATTTATTTCCTAAAGTATTTTAATAAGAAGTCTTAATTCACAAGCGGCTATTTGACAAGTATTTTAAGCTTCTAAGTATTCATTGTAATGTTTTACTAGATTTATGAAAAAACACACATTTAAGTTAAAAAATGTTTATGTCACTTGGGTAATGTTTTACTTTTAAATTTTATATTCCTATTTTGGGAACTTTGAAGAAGGATATTTTGATCCAAAGGCATAAGATCAATCAGAAACCCAATCAGCTTATTATCCCTTGCCCTTTAATAATAGCAGAGTATTTGAATAATACAGGATTTCACTACAGTGGTAAAACTGGTTTCTTAGTACCTTATATATAATTATTAACATTAGCTAAGATTTATTGAGAGTAATGGGTTTCTATTCTAAAAGAGAGCCTGAGTTCTACAATATTAAATACCACCCAGAATGTCCTGTGAGACTTTAGAACTAATTCCATCATGACTTAACCACCTTGTCTATCTCATCCTTAGCCAGATCTATAAGACTCAAATCATATAACTCAACTCAGCCCAGTGTTCACACTTCTTGCCTCTAAACTTTTCTGCTACATAACCTTGTCATATCAATAGCTGTACCCTTCAAATCTCAGTTTCCAATTTCTTTACCCTAACTTTCTATCTTTTTAAAACTTGCTTTGTAGGAGTAGTCCAGGCCATTTACTCCAGGTTTTTCTCTATGCCTTCACCTGTTTTGTCTTCTTCTACCCATTCTAGATTCCACTAACCAAATAATCTCTTTTCCTCCTGTCTACCTTATCCACTAATTCTCAGCCCTGGTTCTACCAATTGAATAGCACTAGAGAAAATCAATTAACCTTTAAATTTATAGCCACATACTTTAAATGGGTACTCAGTATTGCTCAACAGTACGTACTCTGCCCTGTATATAGTTGGCTTTAGCACATTCCTGAGTATTACTGCATAAGCAATACCTCTTTAATTCTCTATATTTGATAGTCTCACCTCACAATTTATCTTCACCCTAAAATCTAACATGTTTTCTGCATCAATGCCAGCATTTTCTAATTTATCCTTTTCCAGTGGCAGACTTGCCTCTTTAAGGACAGTCACCCTACTACTGCTCTAAATTCCATTACCATTGACTTTTAATTCGAAACATATGGGATACAACATTTGGTTATATGAATTATCTTATATAGTTTGACAAAGTTAATAATTGTGTCCATACCAGATAGTATGCATGTACTCATTAGTGTGAATTTACTGATCCTCCTCCTGATTCGTTGAATTAGTGTCGATCATTTAGTTCCAGTTTAAATGTACATGAAGTGTTTACTTTTTCATTCTTGCAGTGCTTCTTAGGAAATAGTCTCCACTGTCCATCCAGGTACTAAGGATCACCTATTTTTTATGGCTGAGTAGTACTCCACGCTATGCATATACATTTTATTAATCCACCTCCATATTCATGGCACTTGGACTGTTTCCACATCTTTGCAGTGGTGAATTGTGCTGCTGTAAACATTCGAGTGCAGATGTCTTTTTTATAGAATGTATTTTTTTTTCCTGATAAATACCCAGTAGTGGGATTGCTAGATGAAATGGTAGGTCTACCTTAGTTCCTTGAGGTATCTCCATCCTGCTTTCATACAGGTTGAACTAGTTTGCAGTCCCACTAATAGTGTGTAAGGAAGAAGTACAACTCTCTTCATAGATGATTTGATCTTATATATAAGAAATCCTACAGAATCAACAAAAAGCTATTAGAGCTAATGCAAATTCAGCAAAGTTGCAAGATCAACACAAATCAGTTGTATCTCTATGCTAGAAATTAACAATCCAAAAATGAAATTAAGAAAACAATTCCATTTATAATAGCATCAAAAAAGATTAAAATCCTTAGGAATAAATTTAACCAAGAGGATGTAAGACTTGTACACTGAAAACTAGAAAACACTGTTCCTAGAAATTACAGATTACATAAAAAATGGAACGATAGGGACTGCATTATATCTGTAGGCTGCTTCTATCAAAATTCGAATGGCCTTTTTGCAGAAATGGAAAACCTAATCCTAAAAATATTAAAATAGGAGGGATCTATCATAGCCATAAAAACTTGAAAAAATAAAGTTGGAAGACTCATACTTACCAATTTCAAAACTTAGGACAAAGCTATATTAATCAAAATAGTGTGGTACTGGCATAAGAATAGACCAATGGAATAGAATTGAGAGTCCAGCAATAAACCCACCTGTGTCAACTGAGTTTCACCAAGAATGCAAGAACATTCAGTGGGAGAAAGAGTAGTTTCGTCAACAAATGGTGCTGGGACAACTGGATCACCACATACAGAGCAATGAGGATGGAACCTTACCTCACACCATAAATAGAAATTAAATCTAATGGATTAAAGACCTAAAACTCTTAGGAAAAAACATAGCAGTAAATCTGCATGACCTTGGATTTGGCAATGGATTCTTAAATATTATACAAGTACTGGCAGTAGAAGGAAAATTAAACTTCAGCAAAATTTAAAGGTGTGCATCAAATAACACTTATGTGAAAAGGTACTCCCACAGAATGGGAGAAAATATTTGTAAATCATACTGATAAAGTCTAGTATCAAAAATATATAAATCTTACAATTGAACAAAAAAGGACAACCCAAATGAAAAATGGGCAAAGGACTTGGATATACATTTCTCCAGAGAAGATATACAAATGGCCAATAAACACATGAAAATATGCTCAACATCATTAGGGAACTGCAGAGCAGCACCATGATGAAGTGCTACTTTATACTCACTTTCTGTTTTTTAATTCTAGCAAACCCAGTGAGTGTTGGTAAGGATGTGGAAAAATTGGAAATCATATTCCAGTTTCTGTAGGAATGTAAAACAATCCAGCCACAGTGGAAAACAATTAGGTGGTTCCCCAAAAGAACTGAAAACAGATATTCAACAAATACTTATACAAGAATGTTTACACAGCAGCACTATTGACAATAGCCAAAAAGTAGAAAAAACCCAAGTGGCCAACCGATGAATAAACAAAATATGACATATTTATACAATAGAATATTATCCAACCATAAAAGGAAAGAAGTATTGATTCATGCTATTATGCAATGTGGATGAACCTCAAAAACATTATTCTAAGTGAAAGAAACAAGACACAAAAGGTGACATATTGTAGAATTTGTTACCTTCATATAAAATATCCAGACTAGGTAAATCCATAGGGACAGAAAACTTTAGTGGTTGCCAGGGGATGGGAGAAGGAATAATGGGGAGTGTCTGCTTAAAGTGTATGGAGTTGCCTTTGTATATGATGAAAATGTCTTAGAACTAAATAGAGGTGGTAGCTGTACAACATTGTAAATGTATTAAATGCCACTCACTGAATTGTACCCTTTAAAATGGTTATCTACATTTCATCTGAATTATTAAAACCCAATCTTTATATCATGGCCTAGAAGACTTTACATGAGCTGATTTCTGCATCTCTCTTCACCTTTATTTTCTACTCCTTTCCCTCTTGTTGAGTATGCTTGCAGCATCTACTTGAACAATCTTATTTCTACCTCAGAGTCTGTGTTCTTGAGATTCTGTTTTCCTGGGAACTCTTGCAATTCTGCAGATCTCCATTAAATGGTAATTTTTTAAAAAATTTATTTAATGGTAATTTTTTAGAGAGAACCTCTCTCTCACCATCCTATTAGTGTTACTATCATTCTCTATCATGTAGCACTTTTTTATATTGGAAATTTTTTATTTCTACCTTTCCTCTACAAACTCCACTCCTGTAAATTCTACTGGAGCAGGAACACTGTCTTGTTCATAATTTCCAGAACCTAAACAAGTGCCTAGAAATGTGGGTCTATGACAGTATGAATGGACAAATGCACAGATGTAGCAATTCTAGATAGGAATTTACTAAGTTCAAAGATAGCCACAATGTCTCCTAAAATTTTTAAATCCTATATATGATGTCAGGATTTCCATTGCAATTGATAAGTATTAACCAGCCATTTGAGCATTTATTACATGATATGCACTGAACTAAGCTATAAATACAGAGTAAGAAATGAACCTCTTCTTTATACTTAAAAATGAGGAGATATGTTTCTAAAGTCATGCAGAATCATGGACTTCCATTTTATTAGCCCCTTTGAGGAATTGTGTAGGCAAATCAAATGTACACATACTGCATTGCTAAGACAATGTTGTATTTATAATGGTTAGTTTTAGGTTTTTTTTAACATTAAGTAAAAAAGGCTCATGGAAATATTCTGAAATAACATCTACAGGAAAATAATTCAGCCTTTTTTTCAGGAATACAGATATGTTCAGAACAGTATGCTGTACCATTTTGAACTTTGAATAATATACTTTTGGCTTATTCTGTGATAGCAATAATTAAGGAATATTGAAGAATGGGTGTTACACTAATACTTGCCTATTATTGATAAGGCTTTATTATTTACCTAATTTGGTGTGCATTTTATATAAGTCAAAATCTTTCAGCTAAGTTTATAATGAGTGTTGAAATTTAGAATAGATTTGATGTTAAAAACTTTTAAGCTTATTTAAAATCAAAATTTAGCTATTGGAGTTCTATGTAATTCATTTCTAAAATTTTCTATTATACAGTTATTTAAAATTATTTTTTTAAGTTTGAAGCAGGAGACAGCAGACTTTGTCCTGAAGGGCCATATAGTAAATGCTTTAAGTTTTATGGGCCAAAAGGCAAATTTAAGGATATCATGTAGGTATTTGCAAAACCGTTTCAAATGTAGCCATTAAAAAATATGAGTCATTCTTAGCTTGCAGTCCGTTAAGAAACAAAAACAAAGGACAGCCAGATTGGTTTTTAGGCTGTAGTTTTCAAACCCCAAATTTAGAGGGAAATTTTTAAAGATCAGAACTCCCTGTTCTTTATTATAAATGTTATATTCAATTTATTTGACTGTTTCACAGAAATAGTGATTTAAATCAATTTTGCATCAGAGGCTAATGAGAATATTAATTAGTAGGGCTAAAAAAACCTTGATTTTTTTTTTTGTTTTCAACATATTAAAAATAAATGGTCACTGTAACTAATGACTTAAATTTCTTACCTGAATTGTAATCTAACACCTTGTTGATATAGGTTTGCCACATGTCCTCAACCAAATAGAGCTGTAAGGTAGTGACTGTTCCAGAAGTACATATGGAAAAGAACATGGAAAAGAGAAAATATTTTATAGCATTAGCATAGGTAGAAACCTAATACTAAACTCTACAGTGATCACTACAGTGATCTAAACACCAATCCTGATAATCATGGATGGCCAAAACCAACTTAAAAGGCCAGTATGTCCTTTAAATGGATAGTAGACTAAGGTTTTCTCATATAGCAGTTTAATTCCACATTAAATTTGAAGTCTGCATTGATAAATTCTGCCAACTCTGAGTTCAGTGCCTAGTGTGGAGCTCAGCGGTTGCTAGAGGTAGTTCTTTAGCCATTCTGTCATCATTGATTAACAGTTAACCCAGTCATAGTGTACATATTATACTTATTTCTATTTTTTAACACATCTAATTAAAAGTTGAAGTAAGCATGGAAGGAATCATAAATGCTATGAATAAACAAAGAATTTTGAGCAAAATAATATAGTAAATAGCAAAAACCAAATCTAACTTGGATTGTAAAAATTGGAGCAATTTGGTAGGTGGTTCCCAAGACTATGCTTTGTGTCACACCAGGTGTCACCATTACAACCAAGCAGTAAGCTAGGTGGAAAGCAGGGAATGGCCTGGTGGTGTAGACCTGTATTTTAGGGTACATACCTGAATTGTAATGTATTCAGTATATGTATCTTTGAGAAGGAATAATAAACTGCATTTAGAAGGTAATAGTGCACATACATGTTTGCAACCTTAAATATCAAATTACTGGCATATATACCATATCCAGATTTTACTCTCGTTACTTATTAAGAAAATATAATTTTTAGAATCTCTGCACATCTTTAAGATTTACAATTGATATTAGAGACTTTAAAAGGGTTTTTTTTAATTACACTAAACATAAAACATTGCTTTGTTTTCATAGAGCCATAGAATGGATAACTGGTAGCTTTTGCATTGTTCATTCTAACATTTTTTGTATCAATATGAACTACTGGTATGTTCCTAATATTATAAATAAATTTACAGAGAAGCATATGCAATTTATAGAAATTCACTATTTGAAAACTTTTTTTATATATTCAGTTTGATTTTCACATGTTTAGTTGCTTATGAGTATAATCTGAGATGTTCTCATGTGAAAGCCTGAAAAATGGGTTTCTAGAAAATAGCCAGGTAAATGAATACTGGAAACATGTGAGACTAGTAGTTCTAACAGTACAATTAGGATTTTGTATTGCTGAACCTGAATTTTCTTTTGAAGAACTATAGATATATAGCTAAAAACTTTGACTTTACCTTCAATATATAATAGAATAAATTTGGTCCTGTAATTACCATATATTTCCACAAGGTGGAACTCTCGATGTTAGGTATTTTTTTCCATTTCAGTTGTCTCAAAATTACTTAGGTGACATAATTTCCAAGTTCCATTATATTTTTTAGATACACTTTTTACAAAGTCATATAATGTAGTAGTCCCCCTATTACATTAGCTTAAAGTTTGATTCTAGAAGAGATAATATCCTCTCACAAAATTACCAATGAAGTTTTTAAAAATTTCTTAAACTCCATAAAAATAATTTCATGATTTAAATATTACTTTTTGTAAAAATAGGAGCAAATTATTTGTAAAGTCATTGCATAAAACTTCAATACTAGTGAAGAATTCTCATAATTCATATATTGTTATTGAATAAGGCAGAAAGTTCTAAGTCTTTAAACGTTCCCTTTGTACAACATATGCAAATGTATATTCATATGTATATTACTAGTACCATGTTATGAATTGCTTTGTTACTCCAGCTAACTTGAGATTTGAAATGTGATGTGCACAGAGTAAATACACTTGATTCACAGGTTTTGTTGATCTCTTAACCCTTATAATACCTGATAACATGAAATACAGAAGTACAACTTAGTTTATGATCAATAAAAATACAATGGTAGAAGTTAGATACTATTACCCCAAATTTTGATTTAAATGAAAATGTCTGCTAGTTTTAGGATATCTTCGAACCTTTGAGTCTGAACCAATCTAAACACTCCTTTGGCTATCCTGCACTATACCTTAACTTTAAGTTTTATTATCCATTAGTTATGAGCCTTTACTTGGGCAAAAATTCTAAATATATGTCCCATCTACTGGGTTATCTCTAACCATAGGCTCTGTCTGGTTCTTTTCTAAGTAGTACTAATCTTTGGAGGCCAGGGTGGTTTTTAGAACAGTAGTACATTTTCTCTTTCTTGGTTTCATGGTAAGTATATTTCTGTGTGCAGGAGATTGAAATCTTAGTTTTAAATAAATTGGGCTCCAACAGTATTTTTAATTGAATAAAATATAAAAAGAGGGAGCTGCTAATATGTAGATTAAAACAGAAAAAAGGGTTTTTGGTGATTGGCCACAAACAATGGGTTATGAGTAACATAGATATGTAAAATATACATATATTGTAAATGCTTATAAAATTAACTGACATCTAATTAGAAAGGATTTAGATACCTTATTTCGCAGACAAATTGAGACTCAGAGAAGTCAAGTAATTCTCAGATTATAGAACAAGAGGTAGAGCTGGAATTTTTTACCACAGCGATAATTTCTTATAAAGAAACTATAATTCAACTAATAGTATGGTTGCTATAATGTAGGACTGATCACAAGTCCCTTCAAACAAGTGCTGCTACAAGGGTTAAGCAGTTTCTGTGAGCACCTGAGCCTACAAGCAGTCTTAAAATAGAAGAAAAGGATAGAGTGAAAAGCAATGAGGTAGTGCATGTGTTAAGAAGCCATAGTGGGCCAGGTATGGTGGCTCATACCTGTAATCCTAGTACTTTGGAAGGCCGAAGTGGGAGGATTTCTTGACTCCAGGAGTTTATGACCAGCCCGGGCAACACTGCAAGACCGTGTCTCTACAAAAAATAGAAAAAATGTATCTAGGTGTGGTGGCATGTGCCTGTAGTCCTAGCTACTTGGGAGGCTGAGGCAAGAAGATTGCTTGAGCCCAGGAGCTCGAGGTTAGAGTGAGCTATGATGATGCCACTGTACTCTAGCCTGGGCCACAGAGTGAGACCTTGTCTCAAACAAAAAAATCAGAGTACTCTAATTTGCTCCAGATGCTGCCTGGCAACCATACCAGTAACTAATACTGGATGCCTAGAATGTGTTGAGAGCACTGTGCCAGCACTTCAGCTACTTTATCCCCTTTAAACATTTAACAATGTTACTAGAGATGATCATCCTATGGGAAAAAAATAAAACTTGCTGAATGGGCAGATCTTGGATTTAAGCACAGGCAGGTTCTATGAAGTCCTAAAGTCCTCCTGCAAGCCACTGTACTTCCTGCCTCACCAGTGTACCAAGAGGGAGGGAGGGAAGTTCATCTCCATAAGGACACTTAAAAGCCAAGTAAAAATATTTCTCAGGGGACATATATTGTTTAGCTTCCCCCCCCTTGTGCCAACATTTCTCCTTTATGCTAGGGTAAATTTTCTCTTTATAATCTCTACTTCATCTAAACCTTTGTCTCTTGTATTTTTAATGTTTACACATGTGAACTTAAAAGTACTCTTAAAGAGGACATAATGTTCACTTTGATAGAATTTTTCAACAAGTTATTGCTTATTTCTAGGTTAAATGCACTATTCAATACTAATAGATACATAAATTTAAATTAACTTGAAAAAGATAATTTGATATTCCAAGGCACAAACCACATATACTAACAGATTTTACCAAAGAAAACACAAAAAGTTGGAATTCTCTTTCATGTATTTGGAATGTGATGGTTCAAAAGTAAAAGCTCACTTGTTTCACAGATCCCTGTTCCAAGATCTCACTCATCCCAACCCCAAGAAAATGTAAAGCCTGGGTTAATTTCCTGCAATAAGTAATCATTTAATTAAAGAACAAAATTAACAGGAATCAAAATGTTGCATCTGTATTTTTTTGTTAGACATTATATAAAAAAAGAAAAAGTATAATACAGTAAATCATTTTGTATAACATCAACTTAAAGAGATCAGGATAAAAATGTCTTCAACATAATACTGAATGACACTGTGTCACATGTCCCTCATGTCAGGGGAGGCCTGGGAGTGGTGAGCCTGCACATGCATGGCGCCCATCCTCCATTACACTGCAGAACTGTAAAACGAGGTTGAAAGGCAAACGACAGTTTTCTTCTGGTAGAGTTACTTTGGGTCTTAACTGACCCCAACATTTCACACTCCTCAGACAACAAAGAAGGAAGTGTGTCCTCTGGTTCCTCCTCTTGCAGGTAAGTGCGGCCAGGATTGCACCTGCGTGTGTGACCCTGCTCTTCTCACAAACACAGCAGGTAGTCTTGAGCTGAACTTCAGGAAAGTTCCCTGATGAATGTTCAGTGTTGGTATCAAAAATTAAACACAAATTCTTCTCAGAAGAAAATCTCTATGGCCTGTGGAATCTAGAGATTATAAAACAAAGAATTTAAGGTTATACATTTCTAACAGTCAGAATTGCCAAAAACCTTCCACAAATCAATTTGCTGCTATGAAAAGCTTCTCAGAAGGCCAATATGTAAAACATGAGGCTGGAGCTGCTCTGGTTAAAAGAATATAAAGTCTCAGGGGGCTCCCAACTTCAGGTCCCTCTTGTTGTCCAGAATATATGGTGAATTCTTAGGACTACCTAGAACTTTGAAAGCTGCCAGTTAAACCCTCAAGTACACAGAAAGGTCAGGGCTTTGCTAAATCAGTAGAAATAATGAATTAATAAATTATTGAAAATTAGAGTTATGAGGGTTTTTTATAGAGTTAGTAATGTGTTCGTAGTAATATTAAATACACTCAAGAAAATCTTATATAACTAAAAATATTGTTCTGGCTTTTAAATTGATATGAAGTGCTAAAATATGATGTAAATATTTTATCATTTTCTTATGTTCAAGTATTGGGCTCATTCTTTAAAATTTTGTCATCTAAGAAAGCTATCAAGAACTTCTGAGAGAAAATAAACATCTTTGGTAAACATTTTTAATAACATATAATAGGGAAATGTATTGAGATTACCATACATAGAATATGTAATTATATCCTATTTAAAACACAATGAACACTAAAAATGATTGTGTATGTTTTATTAGAGATACTTCCTAAACATTCATTAAGACCCATTCAAAATAAATTTAAAAAAATGATCTATTTCTGCCCAAAATTATGTTAGTCATGGGAAGAAACATTTAAAAGTTTGAAAATTATTTGCATAATTTTCTCCTGTCCTTCCACCCTCGCCTTCCTCCTCAATATATTTACGCTGAAACCACTGGATAAGATGGAATTCCACTGTCCTCTGTTCCATAGCGACACTGAGCTCACAGAGCAAATGTTTTAAATAATAAGTGCAGTGGCCACTTTGTGACAAACAGAAAAGGAGAGGAATCCATTATGTAACTACGTGGAGGATTTCCCTTCGCTCTGTACTGGGGCTTCAGCATCTTCAGATAAGAGGACAGAGGACAAAGCAACAGCTGCAACTGAAGTCTGGTTGCACCATGGTCATCTCCTTTAGATTAAAGGTGTGTAAGAACATCACATAATTACTACTGGTCATGGGGTGAAAAAGAAGGAAATAAAGAATATACTGCTCACTAAGTAAAGAGAAGTAAATCTTTTTCCCGACTTTCTCATCACCAAGAGGCCCAGAGTCATCCCTTGTATAGTCTGGATTATGGAAGGATCAGGCGATGTATTCACAATGGACTAGAAGCTCCATGCAGAGGAACGTCCTTTACCGTATGAGCAGTTGCATTTTCAGCACCTAGAGTGGTGCCTGGCAAGTAGTAAGTAGTCAAATATTTGCTGAGGAAACATGTTCTTTCGGCTTTGGGGAAACATTGGCTTGTGCTAAAGATGTGAATAATAATTTTAAAAGTATATGGGAAGGTGGAGACTAATTTCATAGCATCTAAATATAAATAAATAGACAAATTCTATACATTGGAGGAATTCTGAATATTAGAGGGAAATTAAATATATATGAAAGTTACTCTCAGTGCTTTGAGATTTTCTTAAATATACATTAACTACTTAAATAAACCAATGAGCTGTGTAATACTGTTCTCCCACATATCGTCTTTCACCAAGCCCTGTAAGAAACCATGGGAGTGGACAGCATATTTAATTGAGGTACATTCTATTCAATAGTTTTCTGCAGAAATGCTGAATTTTTTTTAGCTTGATATATAATTCTTTGTGGCTTTTGTATGTATTTTAAAACATACGTTATGAAAAGTATCATGAAATTCATATAAACAGAAATCTGACCTTGTCAAATGCTTGCTTGATGCATGTACCTCCATTTCATTACTTTTGTATTCATTTAATTCTTTACGAATTGCTGCCTGAAATTTAAAAATAGGACATTGCTTTTCAGGACATCAAAAAGTAAACAGAGGAAATTAGTATCATGTTCATGTTCCTAATACTTGCTGACTCTATTATTTTGTAATACATAGCAAAGAAAAGAAACAATATTTTGTTCAGCATTTAGACTATCTTACTCATTTTTTAAAAATTTTTGAATATTACTGGGGAACATTTTGTTTACATATAATGCTTTAGCCTCACCCAAGCCAGGGCTACAAGCATGTCCTTCCCCATACAGTGTGCTCTGCATCCATTAGCTGTGAGTTTACCCACACCCACCATCCCCTCCCACTTAACTGGCACCCAGTAAGTATTACTACCATGTGAGCACCTTAGTGTTCAGTTAGTACCAATTTGATGGCAAGTACGTGTGGCGCTTGCTTTTCCATTCTTGTGATACCTCACTTTGAAGGATGAGCTCCAGCTCTATCCAGGATAGAAGAGGTATTAGTTCACCATTGTTTTTATGGTTGAAGAGTATTCCATGGTATACATATACCATACTGTATTTTTTTTTTTTTTTGAGACAGAGTCTTGCTTTGTTGCCCAAACTAGAGTGAGTGCTGTGGCATCAGCCCAGCTCACAGCAACCTCCAACTCCTGGGCTCAAGCGATCCTCCTGCCTCAGCCTCCCGAGTAGCTGGGACTACAGGCATGCGCCACCATGCCTGGCTAATTTTTTCCATATATATTAGTTGGCCCATTAATTTCTTTCTATTTATAGTAGAGATAGGATCTCCCTCTTGCTCAGGCTGGTTTCAAACTCCTGACCTCGAGCAATCTGCCCACCTCCGCCTCCCAGAGTGCTAGGATTATAGGCATGAGCCACCGCACCCAGCCTACCATATTGTATTATCCACTCATGTATTGATGGGCACTTCGGTTGTTTCCACATCTTTGTAATTGTATATTGTGCTGCCATAAACATTTGAGTACAGATGTCTTTTCTTCTTTGGACAGACGCCTAGTGGATTACTGGATCAAATGGCATTTCTATTTTTAGATCTTTGAGATATCTCCAAATTACTTTCCACGGGGGTTGTACTAATCTGCAGTCCCACCAGCAGTGTAAGAATGTTCTAATCTCTCCACATCTACGCCAGCATTTGTTGTTTTGGGACTTTTTGATAGAGGCCATTCTCACTGGAGTTAGGTGATATCTCATGGGTTTTGATTTGCATTTCCCTGATGATTAGAGATGTTGAGCACTTTTTTATGTTTGTTGGCCATTATTCTGTGTTTTGAAAAGTTTCTGTTCATGTCCTTTGGCCATTTGTTTATGGGATTGTTTGATTTTTGTTAATATCTTACTCATTTCATCATCCTACCAAGCTAGCTTATGACCAGTATCCTGGAAATCTTTTTTAAAAAATTATTTTTATATATAATATTTGTACCTATTTATGTGGTACATGCGATATTTTGCTACATGCATAGACTCTATGATTAAGGAAGG